TTGTTGGCAAAGAAAACTTATCATTTCAAATGAACAAATAAATACGAACATTTTACACTAAGCGAGCATGGTATTTGTTCTATTTTGTGAATGATTTTTGTACTGTCATTTCTTATTTCTAAGTTATAAACATTCAATGAATATTCATCACTATATCTTGTAGAAATGTAATCGTTTCTTAACATGAATTACTACACTTTAAGTCTCCACCACTAGATGGCAAGTAACATTATCTGTAAAATATGCAAGTGGAAAAGTAAAAAATATTGTATAAGTAAAAAAAATTCACCATGTAACTTCAATTCTATACATTTCGCCTCTTGGGTTCGACTGTAGTTTTGATATAATTATTATAAATTCCCCGTAGTTAAATTCATTTCTAAGTAAAAGCATGAACGATAACTTTATTAAAATCATATAAAAAAATGTATTTGTATTTACATTTTAAAAAACGTGAAACATTATATGGCTATGAAATGGAGAATTAGTACATTATGTAACAAGTGCATGAAGAAGATGGCTCACCCAGGAGCTGATTGCGCCCGATCGCAGTGAGCGTGAAAAGAATCCTGGGTGAGTCATCCTCCTAACGTACTGGTTGCATGTCATACTTTTCAACTTTTGGTGCTTAAAACGTCGTTTTTATGACACTAAAAGCTTAGAAAAATCATGTTTGCGCATGGAGTGTTAAAAAATACGTTACAAGTTTGGTTAGTATAAGTCCAGTTCCAGTGGCTCTTTAATGTCCAAGAAATTTTTATTTTTCATATTTTATTTCCAATCTGTCAATATATGAGATATTCAGCAAGTAGAAACAACAATTATGGATCGCAAAAAAATAGCCGTAAAATTTTCTACCTGGGTTATCGCAAGTTTTACAGTGATAGCACATTTTCATTCAAGTCCTTTGTGAAGCATCGCGACGAATCATAAAATAACAGACATATCCTTTCATCAATCAGTCTCGGCGTTTCAAAAGTAAATATGATAAATTATTCATTCCGGAGGCGTAAAGCGCGACTCGAGTCACTCTCTTTCTCGATGTCTTATTACGCAACGAAGTTTTACACGCGTTACCGTTTGAAATTAAGATCCTATACGTATACTCCCGCGACGCGCAAAGCCAACGACGACGACAAATGACGCCGCCGCTATATAGATCGTTTCCACAGCGAGCTTGCGGATACTCTCGCGCGTCGCGTCTGCCTGTGCAGTCGCGAGAGCTCTCAAAATTTTAATTACGACTGCTGCTGGCATGTGTAACCGCACGTCGTATCCACGTGTGTGCGAAGGCTCGGTGTACTTTCGTTAGGTTTTCGGTTTCGGTATAAATTCCACGCGCAGCAGCAGCAGCAGCTCCCCATGGCCCCGCGAGATTTGCCTTTATGTACTGGCTATATTACGCAGTCGAGCATGTATGCACACGTACATGCACGTATATGACACACATAAGCGCACACAAATATAACACACAACATGGATTATAAAGCTGAATAAGGCGTATGTTTACCGAAGCTAGAGGCACGCGTATGTATATAATATAGCCCGAGATGCCCCAAGTAGTATATAGCTACTGCTGCCGCATATGAGGCAAGGGTTAATGTATGCGAATGTGAATTGTGCACAGTGGTGCACACGTGTATAACAGCGGAGGAGGGCCGTGGAGGGATGGATGGGTGCGCGACGCGAAGGACGTATAGTTTCCGGCAAATAAGCTGACGATACCAAAACACAACGTCGTCGTCTGTCGTGCGCGCACTGCAAGTTTGCTTTAATGATACGTTTCTCTCTCTCTCTCTCTCTCTCTTTTGCCGAGCAAGTTGCCCGAGAGCTTAATGCGCCAAGGGTACACTCGGCTCAAATATTAAATCAACTTTCGAATGAGCAAACGCACAATTTACTTTAGCTGCTGAATAAACTATATAATTTTTCGAGTCGAGCTTTTAATGGCAGCCTGTGCCAGACCTTTCGTACGTAATAATATCCGTCTTGAATTCAGGACAGTCAGAACGTCGAATATTTCGATGCAATTTTCGAGAAGAAAAATATACCGTTGTAATTCGTTTTGCACGAAACTATATTTTAAATAAAATACCAATAGTCCATGATAGCACTCGTGCACTCGAAAAGAAGAAAACATTTCTTTCCAATTACAATCTCGTTTTTTATGACTGATACACAATCTGATTTTTTAGTTCGCTTGAATTTTCTCCCTCGATGAAGAAAAAATTTTAAAACAAACAATTTTTTTAACAATTCGTTAATCAAAAATTTTAAATTGACTACTCAGGTCGGATTTGATGTAACTAAAATATTCGTTTCACGTGAAACAAATTTGTGAGAAATGCTGAACACTAATAAAAACGTAATTACCACGAAATGGTCGTTTAAAATGTTTTAAAATGACTTGAAATTGATAGATCAAATGTTATGAAAAATTTTAGATTAGTTTTCAACCACTCGAATACGATACTGATACTTTGAGTCTTCACCACTAGATGGCGAGTAACTTTACCTGTAAATCCACAACTGGAAATAATAAAAAGCGTATCAAAAGTATCAGTATTTTTTTCAAAACCATGTTTTCATTTATTTTTGTATGTACATGACAAGTTCTATTGGCCCTTTTATGACGTCTAAGAATATAAAATTAAGTCTACATAATTAGTAGCTAAAAAAGATTAATCCATTCTTATTACATTAAATAAGAAAAAATATGTCTTTAAAGTAAGGGCAGGCCGACAATAAATAAGGCGTTGGCGCGCGATGCCGCCAACAACGGCTCATTACATCCTGGAAATTCATCCTTCGGCCGTACTGCGCAGCGAACGCGCCGTTAATTCATCGAATAGGCCCCGCACGCGCAAGACTCGGGTGCGCTATCACGAGCGCGCAATTATTCCCCGCTAAGATATCGCCTCCGAGGCTCCGATGTACCTTACCTACTTTTTGATCCCTCGCCTTAATCCAGCTCGAACCGTACACATAAACCCTCCCTTTTTAGCCTTAAAAATACTACGAGGCACGCGAAAGCCGAGATAATTTCATCTCTCGCGCTCGTTTTCAACGTTTTTGTGTGTTTATACTGCACGTGAACTTGCAAAACCATGCGAGTAAATTATTAACGCGAGCTTTGGGCGAACTATTCGAGTCAGCTGTACTTGCTGCTGGTGCTGCTGGTGCTGCTTTGCTGCTGCAGCGTTATACCGGGTTTAACGCTGTTCTTTCTGAATTTTCAAGTTACACCCTACAAAGTAATTTTAATCTCATTCGCGAGAATATTAAAGTTAGTCACACGAGCTTTACGATCAAAGCAAATTATGATAAGGGAATGCAAGTTCGGAGAAGGGTTAACAAGGGAGGAAATTTTAAATTAGTTTCAAAGGTTATCAAAACGAGGCTAAATAAGTAAACCAATTCGAAATGTAATTAAAAATGCGAAACCTGCGATCGTGCTTTTGCAAGGATCGACTGCACGACTGAATTATCACTGCTACTCCATCGTTTCATCCGTATATTTTATCAAAATATAATCTAAAATATTTTATTATTCTTTTTTGGACTTTTGTGCTCTCTGAATCTTGAATTTTTTAACTTAAATATTTTTACATTATTTTTATATCTATTAAGAACTTGATGTGCTTATTGTAAAATGTTTGCCCGATTCAAAATAATGCCGCGCTTAATAGAGCTAAATTATTGCCCGCAACTATAATCTATAAGCTTTTAAAACTCATTAAATTTGAAGAGATTGTTTATGGACTGTTGGCATGAGCTTTAATTTTAAATGCGACGTCTAAAACAATGCTTGAAAATATATTTAAAATTGCACTCCAACAGATTTGAATATTAGATACGAAATCGTTTAAATTTACCTTCATTGAGCTTTCGGGCGGGGAAACGCTAATAAATTATTCAGAAAAATAAAATCATTTAAAATTTGTTAAAAATAACAATAACACAATGACTGCGTGTTAATTTGTATTATTTTTTTGCTCGAAATCGATGATTAACCTCGAGATAAAACGATTGCGTTTTCGACATTTTAATCACTGATTATTAATGTCAACGATGCTACGCGGTAATTTCAATAAAATCGATCGCTCGAAAATAATGAAAACGAGGGGCCATGCTTAATGAATGCCGTGTGTTCGGCGTGGGCCAACTCGAAAGCTCGGAGATAAAATTCGAAATAATTGCCACACGTAAAATTTCGGAGCTCGCTTCCGCGTGAAAATATTACTTACGAGCTTGCGCTGATAAAAATTTCACCCACCAATTTTCGCTCGCAAGCTCTGCTGCTGCTCCGCAGCGAGAGAGAGTGGCAGCACAATTGTGCAACACACATAGAGAGTTAATATTACATAGCAGTAGGCATGAGGTACCCAGTTAAGAAAATATACGTGTCTATGTGCATGCACATGGAAGTACACATAAAAAAACAGCAGCAACAGCAGCAGCATCGACCCCGCGCAGCATATGCAACGGCGACGACGAGAGGAGCGGCGTGAGCGCGGCCTTTGGCCTACTAGCTCGCCCCTGGCGAACTCGTATAGGCTGTATATATAGAGTGCGCTCGAGGGGGCAGCGCGCGAGCGCCAAACAACGCGTGTGTTCCATGGGGGGTTCCCCGCGTGGCGCGTTTTAAGGTTGGTAGGTCGCGCGCAGGTGTGCGTGCTCGATTTTCTATATAGGCAGGCACAGAGCCCGTGAGTACCGAGCCGCCGTCGAAGTGCATATAGATATAGGTAGGCAGAACAGCGGAGCACACGTACACGGCTCAGTGCACGAGGATCGCGAGCTAGTGAACGCGCGCGCAACTGCCTGTCTACCTAGTACATAGTGTATACCACTACTACTGCTGCTGCTGCTGCTACCACAACTACCCTAAGCCATATCGTCATAAAAGTAGAGAGAGAGAGAGAGACTATAGAGTGCCTAGTGCTGCTGCTATAGTAGTAGTAGTTATAGGCCTCTCGCGCGCGCCGGACACACGAGTCGAGTCGAGTCTCGTCGTCGCGTCGCAGACTGACTCTGATTACTCGGGCCGTGAGAGCGAGCGCCGAGCGTACACGGCCTACATACATACGTATACGCGAGTCCTTTTCTCTCTCTCTCTCCCTCTCTCCTCCCTCCTTTTTTGTCTCGCGCGGCTCTCTGTTCTGGCATTTGCGTGTGTGCACAACCCCCGCAACGCCGCGACTACCACCGTTGTTAGCTCATCTCTCGCTACTTTGCAGTCCGCGCGTGAGGCACGCGCGACAGTTATTCAGTCGGTAGTCGCGCGCGGGCAGTAAAATCATAAACCCGTAATAAACGTAGCGCATACGTAGTAGCAGTAGCAGTAGTGCAGTGGTTAAACGACGATATCGCGCCTATAATGTCTCGACTTTTTGTATAAATAATAGATCGTGACACGGGCCGTGGCTGTGGCGGCTACGGCTACGGCGACGGCGGCAACGTGCTTGCAACGTGGCGCGCGAGTGAGTGTGTGCCGCAGCAGTGCAGTGTGTTTAGCAGCAGCTTACATTAGCCATACTGTATAATACCATTTACTGCGCTTACTACTGGCCGATACAATTTTTACCCTTCGCTTTTGCGTGCATAATTTATCGCGACCGTAAACTACGGCGACTAAGCGCTCACATGTGCATGTGCAGCAATAGCAGCATAAGTAAATGAGCGAATATCGTCGTCGTCGTAATTGAGCCATGTGCGTGGGTGTACAACGTGCAGCGCTGCAGCTGCAGCCGTACTAACGTGTTGCGCGCACCACCGACCGACGAGTAAGCTGAAAGCTCTCTGCCCGAAACCCAGGCCTGCAGGGAGAGCTTCGATTTCACGAGGAGAGCTTTCGTACGTGCAGTCGTCGTTTCTGCTGCTGGCCTCTTGTTGTTGTTATCGCGGGTGCGTCGTGTGTCATGTTGTGCTAAAGCGTGAAGAAAAAAAGGAAATAATAATAATGAGTGTGAAAGCTTCGATTACCGTGAAGAAAACAGCGTGTCGAAAGTCGACGCGTTCGTGCTGCGATCGTTTCTACTGAGTCGCGTTGGGCAATTATCGACGACACATCTATACCCGAGTGATCTCCTATATGTGAAATTTCGTTCGGGCAGCTCGAGAGAAAGCTCAGGTGAGGTGACTTTTAATATCTTCTGTACGGTCTTTTCCTTTCTTTTTTTGTTTCGCTCTCTCTCTCAATGATGAAAACAGGAAAGACGGAAAAGATTGGGACAGGGCAAAAAATGAGCTTTCTTTTCCACTTCACCGCTCGTCGTCGAGGGGTGAAAATTAGTCGCACGACTGCTTTTTGCGCGCGCGCGCGCTTACTTTGACAAGAAGTTTTAGCGCATGGCTGGGGGAAAAAAATTCCTTTCATTTTCCATGGGTCTATTCCTTTGTTTTTTTACAAACGCGCCGAAAGCTATGTACGAAAAAAAGGAAGAAATCATGAAAAGATAATGGTATCAGGGAAGATGGATTCTAATGTTTGCTACGTGCTTTCACGAGCGAGTCGTTTGTAAAAAATAAAGTAACGCAGACAAATTAAATCGCACGTTGTGTACCTCAAGATAATTTTCGGATAAGTAAAGTGTAAAAAATTGCAGATGACAGATTCGAATCTAAATGAGAAACGACGTGTATGAAATTTACTGGAAAAATAAATATCTATTGTAGAACACTTTCTTGATTTACTCGAAACTTTAAAGGCTGATGAATATTTATAAAAATTAATAGTATTTTTCTACTTGAAATGAACAATAGATAAGATAATTTGTTAAATAAGTAATTAGAAATTTTTATAATTTGGACGTCAAAACTTAAATTATATGTCAGTATTTTCATTAGCAAAATAATGAAAAATTTTCAATTGAATCCATTATTCGGCATATTGTATTTTAAATAAATTGAACGATCTAATTTCAACCGCAACAATTATAGAGATGAAAATATAATCTCGAATTTTTTATTGGTTTCCATTATTTTTTTGTAGAATACATTAGTAAATTAGTAGCTATAAACTTTCAAGACGTTTCTCAGTCATTCTAATGATAATCATCAGAACTATAAAATAAATAATAAACATATAAAAGAAAACAAACTATTATAATTGTATTTCAAGGAGAATCATAAAACAATTGTTTTTAGAAGTATTATCCTATAATTCAAATGCGATAAATGTGCATAATAGATTTACCTTGAAATGAATATCAATATATATTTAGTATGTTTCATATAGAGATCATATACTGATGAAAACATATATAGTGTTTATTTCATTTACTCAAAACATTATTGGTTGAAATTGTTGTATTGATAATGTTAGTTAAAACATACGTTAAAAATAAAATAACATTAGTTTTTTCCCAATGTATTGCTTGCTGTGTCACTTTATCCATAGCCTATATGAATTCATATTTTCTGTTTTGATGGTACGAATGATAATGATTTTGACTTTAAGGATTATATTTAAATAGTCGATTGCATGATTGTATCAATATTGTTCATAACCATGGTAAAAATATTCAATATTAATTATCAATATTATAGTCCAATGAATAAAAAATAAATACTTTGATTATTTCAATATACATTATCATTATTTTTCTTGTTTTTTGTGATTTATCTGCTGTAATTATGTTAAAAATAATCGGTGCATTTGAATTGACCTAAAATGATAATAATATCACTTTCATCTTTTGCTACTAGATGGCGAGTACCTTTATTTGTAAATCTGCTAGTGAAACAATGAGATAACATTTTATTTCGTCTAAAAATGACCAAAAAAATGAAGGAATTCATGTATTTTCTTTTATGTTTGAGAAACTTTGTCGTTGACCAAAAACTAGTCACAAAATGTTGAGAATTTTTGTAAAAGAACTTATGATATTTTTCTACAATTTAAAAGAGCAAACAATTCAAAATTTAAGATTCGACACTTTACATTTAAGTTAACATATAAACGATTTATTGTTTGTCAGAGGCGTCGCAATGTTCTAATAACCGAAAAAAATATTCAAAATGATAAAACTCAACTCTGAAAATTACATAAACGAACATGAAATACTAATAAATAAACATATTATACAGAAAAAAATTGAATTTAAAATTTCAACTAATAATTGAGTAATGTTTAAAATAAACACAACGGATTGATGCTAACAAAGTCGGCGCTACTCGTACAATAGTGGCAGAAGTACTATGCATATATTGCGATACGAGCCTCGCGATGACGTACGGACATTGTTCGGTATACACGCTCCATACGTATGCTTTACATACACCCTACAGATATGAACGTTCTACATAAAAGCTTCCACCCTTTAAGTCAAGTGGTCTTAAGACACACAAGTCCGATACGTCTATATACATATATTTTTTTTTGTGTGTATTCACCTTAAACTCGCAGCCCTCTCATTCTCCACTCGAAGTTTGCTTCCAGGTGGCGATAAAAAGTTTTGCGAGCTTTCGACGAAGATCTTCAACGCCGGGGGGGAGCGCCACCGAGTCCAAGCTCAAGCCCGCGCGATGTGATCAGCCTCTCGCGTCGCCTATAGCGGATAATCCAAGTCGAAGGCGTGTGTAGCTGCTCTGCTGCTGCTGCACACACTGCATCGAGCGTCGCGTCGAGTGTCTCGCTGAGCAGGACATGGTCGTTGTAGGTGGGACGGCCAGGCGATGACGTTCCAGCCACGTCGAGCTCTCGTTGCGTCCCACCGAGTCCACGTGGACTTTCGGAAGACTTCGTCGTCGGCCTCGTCGCTGAGCTGCGTCCGGACCAAGAGGAAGCGCGCCAGCCGCAACGCCCGCTGCTCGAAATCAAAGGCAGTTTTGGCACGTGAGTCTTGCGGCTCACGGCTGCCGAGACTAACGGAAGAAGCCGAAGAAGCAGAATCGGAAGAAGAAGAAGAAGAGGGAGAAAGAGTGGTGACGGAGGAAAAATCATCGTCGCTCTGTCGTTACCTACGGACTAGGAATGAGGGACCGTGGCAAGCACCAGTACAACTCTCACGCGCATCATCTTCACCATCATCATCGGGATCACTTTCATCTGCAGGCTATGCCCCTCGAAGAGGTCCAAGGACTCTTGCCACGAGCTCAGTCAAAGACAGGTTCGTCGTCGCTCGCTCGCTCACACCGAGTTAATTATAAGATGTATTCACTCTTTGCGCGTCATCCTCGCCCACGCGCGCTGTGCGTGCTTCTCAGACAGTCTCGATTTTTTAATATTTCAGAGAGAAAGAGCTTTTAAATGAAGTTCTTTATGTTCGAGCTTTTCTGAAAGGATGGACACCAAAGGATTTTTGTGCATTTTAATACATTTCTCGACTTATTATTATTATTAAAAAAAAAAGAAATATTTCATAATGAATAGAGCGCGTAAAATATAATATCAAGCTCTCTTTTTTACTTTACAATTTAACAATCGATACGAGATAGCGCATTTCCAAGAATAGTTTTGCTTTCAATTGCAACAATGTGAAACAAGTATGTAGGCGTGCTGTATACTGCCAACGCGATTGACTTACACATTAGATATAATGCAAGCTCTCGGTGAAAAATCAGAAATGCACGAGCCGTTCGCGTATAATGTAGCGCTTCGTCATTTGGTAGAAGCAAAAAAATTTTTTTTTTCACGCGGTATATACAGGTATGCCACGTGTATCATATCTTTGTTGTATACGCCTATCGATCTATCGCCTCTCTATGAAGCCCGAAAGCGGAAAATTGTTGTATTTTAAAATGTGTTGTGTTTTAAAAATAACTCGCGGAGCGACAAAGGTCATTATTAACGAGAAAGAATTGTGCCACTGTGTGTGTTTCGTATACATATCGGTATGAATAAAGGAAAAAAGAACCCGCAAGAAACATCGGAAAGGGAGAGAGAGCCGACGAACGGCATGTATACTCGCTGGACGACGAGGAGTGCCTTGTGAAAAGTATTACTTATAAACGAATTATAGACGACCGGGTAGCAGCGGCAGCCTCCTTGGGCGATCAATTTCAATTTACCGATCCTATTTCACCCACCCGCCCGAGGTTTAATAACGCGTACTCATAATATATTTATAAATATATGCTTAAATGTGTATCTTTTCGCATGACCCACGTGCACAGGTAACCGTGGCTCGCTCAACGTAACGATCACTCAGGTCGGAGTTGGTCCAGGCGTCGTCGGTGGACCATCCGGCAATGCGTCGGCCAAAAGCAACGACCTGTTTCATCTGGAGCCGACAGTTGATACCAGGCCCACACCCTCGCCCCTGTCCGACACCACCACTCTGCAGTCCGACAATATCGACTCGCTCGCTGGTTAGTTTTCCGCCAATCGAGCCTACTTATTATACCTAAATGCTTCATAATATGCACGAATTAAGTATAGAGCTGTATCATGCTAGCGGGGCAGCGGCAGCTGAAATTCGTGAGAGAGTTTCGAGCGTTTACCGAGGCTTGAATCATTGATTCGATTGAATTCTACTCCACTTTCGAATAAGCTCGCTAAAAAAATATTACGCAAACATTTTGCCGATCGTACAAAAAAAGGCGGACATTGTTCTTCGTTCTCGACCCACTGCTGTTATTTGAAAAAGAAAAAAAATGTACAGTGACACGTTAAAAATTAAATATCGCGTGTACGGATATAATTGTACTGATTTTAATTTCAACAAAGAACTATCGACTCCATCCGACGTTATACGTGCACACATTCGCATACTATAAGCTTGAACCACTTTTCGAGATGAACTCAATTATATATATTATATATTATATATTATGCATAATAATAACGAGCATGAGGAACAATTTTCAAAATGAGTCACGCGAATCGATTCGCTGAGATATACACCGCGCGAGCTTTTTTTTGCTAAATTCACCGAGGCTTTCACCTAATTAGTAAATGATTCTTGGCTGCCCCATGCATCCGTATTACATGTGTATATTTGATAAGACCGTTGTTGCATCGATTCGAAAAAATAAAGTAAAATTACATCATGGTTTGGATGATGAGCTTCCGCACGAGCGTATGCAACAATAGGTAAACAAATACATATTGATGTTCTACGGTACGAGGCTCGAATTCGTGCATATTCGCTCGGCACAAATATTAATGCAATATACACAGAGAAGCTTAGCCCGCGGGGCTAGATTCGATCGATGGCCAAGCTCAGCTACCTGCATATTATGTGTGTGTGTGTGTGTATTACATAAGCATAAGATATTGTTATAGGAGCCGATCCCAGGCTGCAAATCGCAACGGTCGGCGGCGAGCGGAACGCATGGGAAGGCCGGTATCGCGTGAAAGAGCATCGGCGCGCTGGCAAAGCGACCTTTCAAGGCCAAGTCTATAACTTCCTGGAACGTCCCACGGGATGGAAATGCTTCCTTTACCATTGCTCGGTGTTAGTATTGCAACATTTTCGAGCCCACCGGCTACTACGATAAATCAGTCAAAGTTTTTCCTCTTTTTTTTGTTCATTCCAATGCAGGTTCATGGTGGTATTGGTGTGCCTTATATTTAGTGTGTTGTCTACCATTGATGAGTACAGTGATTTCGCGAATGAAACTTTATTTTGGATGGTAAGTTTGTCCTCGTTGATTTATTCATTTTTTTAAATATATATGTGTGTATTTGTGCATGTAAAGATTGTGAAGGGTAATACTTTGTTTGTCAAAGACAATGAGTTGACAGCGATTAAATAGTCCGTGCATGAAGTTCTTACATAAATAGTATGTAACATGAGTGGTCGATACGATTGCTTATTTACAGAGTACTATTGTATTGTTTGAGCAATTTTTTAAACCGGATAACTTCTATTCTTTTATGCATAGAGCATAGCTTGTTTATATTTTCAAGAAGAGCAAACCAATTTTGCTTTATATTGTGAAATTTTGCAGGAAATATGTTTGGTTGTATTTTTCGGGGTGGAATATTTGGTGAGACTGTGGAGCGCTGGATGCAGGTCGAAGTACATGGGATGCTGTGGACGGATGAGGTTTATTCGGAAACCAATATGTATTATAGGTCAGTGCAAAATTTGAAATTATTCATTAACGTTTTGGGAAGTTTTTTTCTCTACGTAGTTGAATTAATTTTCATGTAAAATTAATGTGATTTGAATTTTATTAAATATTGTATGACAAACTCATTTATTTTATTATAAGATGCTTGTTTACTGAATACTAAAGCTTTGTTTTTTCTCTTTTGGTTTCCGAAAAATTTGGTCATACGACATCTAACTCTAACTTGTGAATTATTGCGTACCTGAAAAAAGAGTTAACATACGTGGAGTTCATAACACACTTTAAAAATAATTTTTACAGGGTCATGCATTAAATCTCAAAAAACGAAAGGAGATAAATGTAAAAAATCACTTTGCTGTAGCATTCAATTATTCTCATACTTATACAATTATTTTTACTTTGCCACTTGCAGATTTACTGATAAAGGTACTCGCCATCTAGCGGGGGAGGCCGGCTTTAATTATGATTATATTTTCCAAATGTTTTTTTACTGAACATTCATTTTATTAGAATTCTTCTTATTAGAACATTTATTTTCAATCGAAATGTATACATTTGAGGATGAAATTGAATTCTTTTAACTCACTTTTTCATTGAAAGTAATGTGTATGATCGAAATTTCCTGTTTTTTGCGCAGTGTATGTATAAAAATAAATCGTAACTTTTACATCAATTTTCAACAAAGATGTCATGTAAAAGTACCTTGAATGCAATTCAGTATCGTTCATTTTAATTTTAATGTCTGATTTATATTTTATCTGCACTAAATTCAAATTTTTTCATCCTTGTAATAATTGTTAATTTTCGATCCATACAGATTTAATAGTAGTTGTGGCGTCGATGGTTGTCCTATCGGTCGGCAGCAATGGACAAGTCTTCGCTACTTCCGCCATTCGTGGCATTAGATTCCTTCAAATTTTACGAATGCTTCACGTAGACCGCCAAGGAGGTACCTGGAGACTCCTCGGCTCAGTAGTTTTTATTCATCGTCAAGTAAGTTAATATTCCGATGATTATTTTTACCTTAGCTGAGCATGATAACTAAAACTCTAAATTGAGATCTAAATGCAGATTTAACAATGATTCAATATTAGAATTAAAAATTTGAAGCTTCGTTAATGAATCGTATTTAAAGATATCATTTCTTCGCGAACTTCCAGTCGTAAATTTTTCATGTTGAATTTCGGTTTCGTGTCTTATAAAACGATTAAAGAAAAAAAGTGCAGCCGAAACTTTTGTCTCGCATTTAATTAAGAGAGCTTTTAATTTAAAGCCCAAAAAGCCTAGAAAAAAAGAACGCGAAATTAGGTCAACATTTACTAATGCACGCTTGATAAATAGATGCGATACAATTTACGCGAGTTCAATGTTAGCATGGATGAGGTTAAAAAAATTTTATTCATAATTTAAGTTATATATATCGTGCGCACATACACGCTACGTATATATATACGCGTACATAAGTCGCGTACACACGACATACGTACAATAATGACTATGGGAGATGTGCATGACGAGATACAATGTATATACTTGCTGCCTGTGCATAAGTCGCGTGACATGCCTCTGGAATTGAACTCATTTTTCTGCACCGGCGCTCGGCTCTGGCATATATGGTAATTGTCAAATCGATCAAAGCTGCGCGTCGAGTTATTTCTAAAGGCTATACTGCTGCTACTACTACTTCATAGAAATGCACAAAACGCGCGCAATAACAATGCGAGGCGAGGGAGAGAAAAAAAACCGTGCCTCATATATCGATTAGCGCGCCGTGCACTTAGAGCTGTACACGACCCGCGGAGACGACCTTGAGGCGAGGATCGCGGAACTGCACATCACGGCGCTGTATAGAGAAAGAGGAAGTCGCTAAGAAGAAAATCGACCGGGCGTGGTTCTACTACCCCGCCATGTAAGCCGCGGCCGTTTCTCGCGCTAAATGGATGATCGCGTTATCGTACACGTATAGCGACCACGCGAGAATCCAGTGACCTTACAGAGCTACGACTCTACATGTACAACTACTCGAGTGCAATTACACGTTGTTTTTTTTCTATCGTTTCGCAGGAGCTAATTACAACGCTGTACATTGGTTTCCTCGGCCTCATATTTAGCAGTTACTTCGTTTACTTGGCCGAAAAGGACGTGGTCGGGCCTCAAGGAAGGACGGACTTTGCCAGCTACGCCGATGCTCTGTGGTGGGGCGTGGTGAGTGTGTCTTCGATTTAGTTATACATACAGGCAGCGATACATAATTTATTTTTGTTGCCGATCTGCTACCGATCCTAAAAATACACCGTTTTATTTGGTCAGTAAATTGTAATTTGACTAGACCTTTTTTTTGCTACCCCCGACTCGAAAAATAGTGTGCCTAGGATCCGATGATAAAGCTATTTTTACATACCGAGTAATCATCGTGCAAATTTAATGTATGAATTCATGCCTAAAAAAGGTGTTTTTTTTTGCATCGACGCTCTCCCGCGCTCTATATCTACTCGTCGTAATCGCGGCCCGCGTATCCTTGGAAGTCAATGTAATAATTTCTAAAAATAGCTCGAGAAACGAATAATATCAAGATTTTTCTTCGCTCGGCCGTCATCGTGTGTCTAGATAACCGTCACGACGATAGGCTACGGAGACGCCGTGCCCCAAACTTGGATGGGAAAAATAGTGGCCTCCTGCTTCAGCGTGTTCGCCATTTCCTTCTTCGCGCTTCCAGCGGTAAGACGATCGACGAAGAGACAAATTGATTATAATAATGTATTCTCTATCGATCACGTGTTTTTTTTGTCGCATATTATTACGTATGAATATAGGGCATCCTCGGTTCCGGCTTCGCGCTCAAAGTCCAGCAGAAGCAGCGCCAGAAGCACTTCAATCGGCAGATACCGGCGGCGGCGATGCTCATCCAATGCCTGTGGAGGTGTCACGCCGCCGAGAAAACGACCAACAGCATTGCCACGTGGAACATCTACCTGAAGGACACGACTCCGCCGGGACAGCCGACTACACCGCTGAGCAAGGTACATATTATGACACACACTCATACACACACACACACACACGAAGGAGCTTAACCCACCCACCGCTATCTATCTGTACGTACACGACCGCATGTTCAACCTTCCGTTTCAGCGTTTAGAGAGCACCACTCGAACACAGCTACTTCTCTATCCTGCTGCACTTCGACTTGTCTCTTTGCATCTCTTGCATGTAGCAGCCCTCCTCCGGTTAAGTATGCGTATATATGTGTGCGCGAATCGTCGTGACACGTCGATGTTATTCAATTAGAGCCACCGCCATCCCCGAGAGCTTCCAGGATGTGTGCGTTGTCGCGTTTACTAACCAAAGCCTCTCTTGCGATCGCTGAGAACAGCAGCCGCAGTATAGAGTGCAGCCTCTATATAGCTAATGACAGATAACGCCTTGTATCGACTACGTATGCAGAGTTGAATGCTAAACCGAGAGAGTGAGAGAGAGAGAGAGAGACGTCAACGCCAACGTTATCGAACCGAAACGACACAATATGCGCATACCGCGATTGACTCGTAACTCTTTAATCTAATTCCAATCCCTGACAAACTTCTCGGAGCTGCTGTATGTTTCTCTAAATTCGTGTCTGGAAGTTTATTGTTCAGAACTTTTTTGTGATGAATAGATATTTTTAATACTCTGTTTCGAGATAAAAATTTAAAAATAGAATCATTATAAAAATAGTATCCATTAGTAAATACGGATTAATGTAATATCTATAAAAATCTGTTGATTTGAAGACAATGCATTTGAAAGAAATGTCGGAAAACGCGTTAAATATATTTCAAAACAGAATTGACATCCTTGAAAAATGATCATCATCGTGGTAGTTATACTTGCTACATCTTCATTTGTGTGATTTTTATACAATTTTATTGAGCAACTAGTGCATACCACACAAGTAGTTGACAATGCATTTGGCACCAATCCATAAAAGAATTCTGCATAGTTTTTTCTTTTAATAAAAAAAAAAATTATTGACAATTGCATAAGGCACGCAACACTTTTTTATTAGTTTCAATTTCCATCGGTTACACAATTTTAATAGATTTTAATTTTAAACGCATACTCTCTCGTGCGTATACCGTAGTGCAGTAGTAACGCTATTCATACGTTATTCAATAGAGAGGCACGAAGTATCTTCTTTTATTGATAAAAACTATAGCTACAATTTATTTTTTTCAAAAGTTATGGTAACGCGTTATTGATTTATAAACAATGGCTAGCAGTCGTAAATTGAACTTTCTATCTACACTTGCACGGTTAATTTTTGAAACAATTAGAATAAGCCTTTGCATATAACTACTTTCATGGCTTAGCATTTCGCATTTACAACAACACTTCGAAATCAAGTAGTATTAGCATAAACACTCAATTAAAAATTTTCCAATTTATATACAATTTATTTAACAGCTACTCTAAAGAGACGTTATGAGTGGTTTAATAACGCTCGCTCGTTGTGCGACTAAATAAGTTACTAATACTCAACTTGTTATGAAGATTATGTGAATGGACATATGTTCGCAACTAAAAGTGCATATTTTGATTTTACTAAAAACAATGCCAAACTTTGACGAAACTCTGGCACACTGAATTTCCTGAATTTAGCTTAGCGCTAACTTTGAGCGAAAGCTTTCGAGCTTCCAACTTTCGAGCGAAAGCTTTTCGTATTGTTCTCTCCCTTAAATGCGCTAAACACAATCCCGCCTTTTTCTTGAAACTTTAATTTTAATACCCATTCGAGTCTTTGGAACAATCAAACTGACGGATTATAAAATCAGCTCGAAGTGGTACATTGCGGAGTGAAAAACACGAGAATAATCAATGAACAACTGCTTTCAAACTCGTGTGTATTATGTCAGATGCATGTGTAATGGGTATGCGTGATGCGTCTTTATAGCTTTGGCCGTTACGTTCAAAAGACTGTTGTTTGTAGTACTTGGCTTTGTCTCGTGTAAATATGTGTGTCTAACACACCTTTGCATTCCGATTGTTTGTAATGTACTCCCCCTCCCCCCCCCCCCTTCACNCCCCCCCCCCCCCCCTTCACTTCCCCTTAACTCTTTTCAACCTACGTATTCTAGTGTCTCACTTTAGCGTACGTACATTTCTACGAGTGAGTAGCGCGCGTAAAAATTTTATTTCTCAAATGCTCCAGGCTTGCGCTCTTTCAGTCGCTTGTCGCATTGAACTCGATGCAGATTTGTCAACGGGACACACGTGTAATTTTTCATACAAATTAAAAGTAGTGCAAAACGAGTTATCATTTTTAAACCGTTTCTTATTAGTATAAAATTATGCTACTGTAAGTCTTTTTCCTCAGGAAATAAAATAGGATATTTTATGGCTAGTTTTTGGCCAGCGAAAATGTTTATTAAAAAAGCGATCAAATCAATCAATCATGGATAACTTAACCAACCAACTTAAATCTCAAAGTAATATTAAAGTAAAGTAATATTTACTTGACCACTTGCAGATTCACAAATAATGGTACTCGCCATCTTGTGGCCAAGACTTGAAATGTTATTACTGACATTTTAGGCCATTTAACACGAGCTTTATATTTTTAAAGTAATTTATAAAATTAATGGTAATGTAATTTTTAGTTATTAACCTATTGATAATGTTAAGCATTTCTACCAGACAACTTTAGGATGATCAAATTAGTTTGTTTATATTATTAACAATTCAAAGTTAAATTAATCACATTGGAATTTCAATCATGGCGTAAATATATTTTTTATAACGAATATACACTCTTTATTAGACTTTGTTTCTTAGTCGATTTGAAAATAGCCATAATGGATAAAAATGAAAAATTTCTCTCAGATAGTAAAACGTTTTTTATCAATACCTGATATCTATAAAAAAATACGTTTAAATTATATAAAGCTCTTGAACACGAGCTCAGTGGATATGTGAATAGAAGAATTTGTTTATTGCATTTAATTAATCTAATTGTTGATTAAAAATCTTTCATTAATAGAGGTCAAGAGCATAAAGCTATTGTAGGACTCATGAGAGTAGCATTGACAATAATGGCGCGTGTTTTTCATTGCACTCAACTCACTATTTTTACCGCTGTTAAAATTTAAATATACACGGAAGCTTTTTCATTATCTAAAAATTTTTGTTTGCGATACATGATGACGATAATATACCTAAGAGACAGACACATATTTCGAAACTAAATGAACACAGATTTCTAATTTTAGTGTTAAACATTAGCGCGCAAAATTTTCTTTCAACAAATAATCAACATAAAAACTGAACCAAAATACTGAGCATAGCAAGCGATTGAAAGTAAAATAATAAATTGCCCTTTATGCGATATTATCATTACAAAATTGTGTCAAAGCACAAGCTCAGTACGTTAGATAAAGCTAGAGCAGAGCTCGGAAAATCAAACAACGTCGGTGAAAAAAAAACGAACAGCAAAAGGCTTTGAGAGTCTATATGAAAAAAGTGCATCTGGCAACCTGTGAATGTGGAGTAAGAGAAAAAACAATCACAGGCGGTCGATGTATCGACAGCACTCGCGCGCAAGTATACGTCAGACAATGTTTACATACAGAAACACGTGAAAAAAAATAAAAACGGAGTCACAGCACGCGGGAAATAGGAGATAGGGTAACCGATCCAGCAAATAGAACGGTTTCCACTGAATGAATAATTGGTTATTATGATTATTATTAAAATTTATCTTATGATATTTAATAATTACACCTTTATTTTTGAAAATCATCCCTGGTACATTACTCAATATAAATAATAGCCTAATGGCCAAAAAATACTAAGTTGAGATATTTCAAAATATATAATCACTAATTAGCTCGTTTAAAATAATTTTCAAGTTCCAATTATGTTCAAAAAGATAAAGCTTACAGGACATGAGAATAACAGTTTTCAATCATTTTGAATACAATTTTAAGCCTCCGCCACTAGATGGCGAGTATCATTATCTGTAAATCTACAAGTAGCTAAGTAAAAATAATTGTATAATTGAAAGCAAGATCTACGAGTATGTCGTATTCAAAGGTCATATAAAAGATATAAAAAATCTTCACCAGGGATTTATTTAATATTATGAAACAATTTTAATAATTATTAAAATAAACAATCGTACATTTATTGGGTTGATGTACAACCTCAAGAAAAAAAAGAGTAACCGATCTTTAGGGTAGCGCATGATGTGTTTTGTGTGTCGGCTTGTACGTAATACGCATTTGGGGTTCAGTCTCTGATCATCCAGGTAGCCAAAAAGGCGAGCGTCCTCAAACGACGCAAGTCCCGCAATCGCATGGACGGACAGCAGCTGGACAACGCCCAGCAGCAGGTCGCCAATTCGCAAACGACGACGAGCTGCCTCGGTACCAATGTCGCGGCTGGACCATCGCAACAGCATCAGCAACATCAGCAACAGCAGCAACAACAGCAGCAGCAGCCGCACATATCCGATCCACGCCTGGACAACGAGGGCGACGTGATATTCTACATGGAGGAGCCGAAGGCTTGCACGCCCAACAGGGTCAGACGGGAAAATCGGTAAGTGCGCCCAGACATTGACCCAAAGATCCTGCTCGGATGATAATACGCAATATAACTACGTTTAGACATAGATATATACATACTTTTTCTCACGCTCTCGTTCTGTCCATTTGGCATTATACACATTTATAAAAGCTCTGTACGGGCAAGCTACTTTTTTATGCGACCCAATTTCATGGAGCAGCGAACGAGGCGCTTAGTAGCTTCTCTGGCCTGTCTGGCCGCGACTCGTGTCTTCACCGCGTATATCCATGGATATATAGCGTATAGCGTTGCTGCTCCGGGACACGAGCTCGGCCACGATGTCGCGTCGCGTGTGTGCTTTCGCGTATTATTTTACTAATGTGTGCGCGACGCGAGAAGGATAGCATGCTGTAACCGCGCCGGCTCGTGCATTGATTTTCACCCGCAAGCTCACGTAAGCTTTTTAATATCCTTTTTTGTACAACGAGACAGCATATTGTGGCGATTAAAAATAAAATTTATTTTTTAAACGAAATCTTTTCGTACCGAATTGGTTTGATTTTCTTCTCGCGGAAGCTTATTATTCACAGCAGCAAGCGATCGATCGAGCGTCATATATTTTTCACTTTATACAAGCTTAATTCTCTCTCTCACTCAAATGCAGCCAGTATACTAACCAGTAAAATCTCGAAACGACCGTTGAGGTCGCGATTTCAATAAATTTCTCGGCTTTTCTCGGGTGCAGCAGCGGCCGCAAAGCAGTTGTCGTTATTCACTCGGGGGGGTTAAAAGCTTCTCACTTGGAAACGTCAGAGTTTCATGCTAGCACGCTTGACGAGCGAATAATCGGAATTTCAAGCGTTTTCTCTCTCTCTCTCTCTCTCTCTCTCTCTGCCTCGGCAATATATGTTAGAGCTTTATTCAGATGGCATGAAACACGTGACTATTTATATTTTTTTTTCGATCGAGAAAGCACACTTTTTTTACCAACAATGGTCATGAAACGCGATACCTTTGACCAAAATACTTCAAGCCGCCTTCATCGATTTTCGGCTGCCGAGTAATTCAATCGCACCATTCATTTCCGTTAAAAGTTGCATCACACATGCAACTGCATAACTATATGGCTTAAAATACATTTCATTATGCTTGCCCTATTTGTCAAAGTCCCACCCGCACACGGAGCTCGCTAACTTGTCCTCAAAAGCCAAATTTTATCATCGCAAATAAATGCATTCCACCTCGTCGCTGTCGACGTCGTCTGCATCGATTTGACGAGCAACACAAATACGTCAACGGATCAAAATTATTTCGAAAATACAGCATCGGAAGCTGATCTGGAGATTAATTTTTTTTTCTTGTACGCGTATAATTGTCTGGCACATTTATTGAACTTCGTAGTTCATCGTTTCGTTAAAAAAAGTATTATTGCTCTATTTCACGAGCTATAAGCTAAATTAATTATTGAATGGATTGGAAAAGACTTTGCGTTTGATGGTTTTAATTGTGCACTGAAAGCGTATTATTATTCAATCATATATTTTTCATTTCCTTTAATTTAAATTATTTATGTAATAATTATCATTTCCCTATGAAGTGTGTACCCTGTAATAAAATAATTAAAATACATTTCCTTTTTTTTGGGCATTGAGAATAAGACAGTAATTGCGAGAAAAGTTTACAGTTTCCAAAGGTCAAGTAAAGTTCTGCAGGGTCACAAAAAGTACACAGTTGTAATGAACTTCAAAAGTTCCTAACTCTATCAAACATAGATAAAAACTGTTTTAATAAATATGTATTCATAATTGAATTTCACACAAGCTAAACGCATGGTTAAATTGAACTCAGCTCGTTCAATAAGCTCCACTAATATTTAATTATCAAAACATGGAATTTTTTATAAGTACTCGTTAATCGGATTATTTTATTTCACTTACATGTACGATTATAATCTTTAACTGGATTTATTCTTCAAATATTTTTTCATATCTTTTACAATCAATAAGTAAGGTTTGGACACTAATAAGTAAGCTCATACCGGAAATTTAACTCAATTTTAGCGAAATGATATTTTAAATAAATTATAACCGTGTTATTATTCATGAGCTACATGAGGGTAACAGCTACCATTTCTTATTTAAAGGGCTTTTAAATATTCAACGTATTACCCAACATATAACGGCAACCTTAATGATCAATAGGATTTGTAGCTGATTGTAATCATCGATTTAGCTTCAAAGCTTTCAATTTTCCACGCTAAATCTTGGCTTAATTTTTTTTATTTCATTTGCTGTAATGCACCAACGTTGATCCATGATACTAAAAGACGTCGAAAATTGTTTCATCTATGATAATTAGCCATTTACAATAAGTGCATAAGTTATTTTTAACCAGTATATCGAGCCATGAAGTGTAGAATGTTTTATGAGCCAAGCAATTGCAACAAAAAAAAATCGTATTACAGCGTCCTTAGCAAATCGAAAGTTCTTCATCGTTCTTATTTATTATTTTTCTTCTCTAGGGTATAAAAATTACAACAAAAATTGCATGTTTTACATCGTTGTGCGAAAAAAAAATATTATAAAGCTTATTACACGAGCCTCGAGCTTATATTTTGGATATCTTGAAAAGCTTTTAGCTTTGCTCTTATACTGCTTGCAAGAAAATTGCCAAAGCATCCGAATGAAACTCAAAAATTACATTGTACAAGCTTTCAGTAAAAAATTTTGGCAATTTCTTTTATGAATATAGGTCATACGATGTCAAGTTTATGTTAAAGTTAATATTTTTATATATAATGTATATATTTTAAACGCTTTCTCAAGAACAAATATTTAATTTGTTGATGTACAGAAAGTTGGATTTATTTTTTATCCCTGATACACTTTAAAACCTGCAGCAATAGCAATGAAACGACCAGACAGAAAAGCAATTGAACGTGTCTGTTGTGAATTTTCAATTTTCTAGGGGAAGCCTGTTTACTTCGCAGACTAGTTCCGTAACGGAAGCAGCCAGTGATGAGATCGACATCGACATCGACGAACCCCAACGCGTAACAACGTGAGTTGAGACAAATGCGTTCCTTCGTGTATTAGACCTAGAGCAAGCTATAGTTGTGGAAAGAAAAAAAGCTAAATCCCAGATGAACTATCAACATTTTTTTCTCATTTCTACTGAAGAAAAAAGAACGAGATAAAGATATGTTGTTAATTCGAAGTTGTACTATAATAATGGAAAAAGAAAGTAACTGTATAAAAATGAGGAAGCGTTTTACTGTTTCAATGCTACAAAAATTCTTGAAAATGCTTTGTACATATTGCATTCAATACAATACTTGAGATTATCGATAAGAATGTTCATTCAATCGAATTTTGTTAATAATGATCGAACTGAAAGAACTTGATATTTATTGACGAAGAACACCGCATTTAATCGTATTTAAGCTTCAATTAGATTTTTGATCTCACTCGAAAAGTTACACTTTTAAAAATTGCTAATTGCACACTTGATTGAGCTTATGTAACTTGAATGTTAACAAACTATTAAAAGCATTGCAAAGCAATTATGCAAAATTGTCTGAAAACAATAAATACATAATTCATCTGCAGCTTTACGGATGTAGTTTATCGTATAAACTTTAATATAACAACGCTCGAGAGCAATTTGATTTTCACCGTGCAAAATGATACCATTAAAGTCTATATTATGTGTACGGCATGCGAGCGACTATTTTATGTATATGTGTATAGCTTTGAACATGAAAAACAAATGCGGCGTTACACACACGCACACTCGTGCACAAACGAATGAATAATTAAATATGAAATCTTAGATTGACGGAGGCACACCGGAACGCGATAAGGGCCATTCGGAAAATCAAGTACTTCGTTGCTCGTCGCAAGTTTCAACAGGCACGCAAACCCTATGATGTACGGGATGTCATTGAGCAGTATAGCCAAGGTCACCTCAACATGATGGTGCGAATTAAGGTAACGACAGCGGCAATAAATTTCAGTTTTATATACTCTCGCGCAAGTGCACATTGGGGATGGCAGCATGCTCGAGGCGCTGTTGGGCCACTTTTTGGGGCTCGGATTATATTCGAAGGTGTTTGTATTCGCATGGACGAGATGCTTTTGTGGCGGCAACCACGTACTGTAATAATTGAAAGTTCGTCGGGCTTCGAACTTCTTCTCTCGCCGCGGGTGACGCGTGCAGCAGCGAGTGCCCCAGTGCTTGGAAGATTTCGACTCATAAATCGCGAGCGTCGCGTGCGATCAAGATTATAATGCCATCGCGCCGTTGAGCGTTGAGCTGTGGCGATGATCAATACCTATATACACAAAATGATCACGCGATATCAACCCTTTACTCGAATAAATAATAGTCCAAAGGTTGACTGCGTGGGTGTGTGTAGGTGCATACTCACCTGCATAATGCATATATATTTTTGGTACCCATTCGATCGGACTCGAAAGATAGAGTCGTCGACAGATGTATCGTAAATTGCGGCGTATAAATTTGTTAGCCCCAGCAGCAGCCCACCGCACGAACGTCCCACGAGTCGCTGCTCGTTGCGTATATGTAGAGGTAACAAGTGCGTATGTAGGTACATACAGTCTACAGCGTCGGTCGAAATCGACGCAGCTCGAGCTGCAGTAGTCGCTGTATACATATGTACCGACACATGCATACGAGTATATAGATTTTTATATGGACGAGTATTATTTACACCCCCCACGAGCCGCGATGAACAATGAGGTCAGCGAGCATGAAAATGCAAATTGACGATTTATGCATGGATTTTCGAATTGATGTTACAGCTCAAGGTATCGCCACTCGAATGTATGCAATATACACACATACATATCGAATAGAGCGACTCAAACCTTTTTTTTATATTTTCGTACAGTGAGAGAGAGAGAGAGAGAGAGAGAAATCGATTTTTTTTCTTCTTCTTGCACACAGGAGCTACAAAGGAGGCTTGACCAAACTTTGGGTAAACCGGGCAGCTACCTTGCGGGAATCGATCGAGCAGGCAACATCAAACCAATGACAATAGGCGCGCGTCTCTACAGAGTAGAACAGCAGGTGAGCAGTCATTTTTACACCCACACCCACACCCACAAAAACATACAACGCACATAGACATTCACACACATACAACGTATATTGTATGCAAATTCATAGTCAATGGATGCAGGAATTTGAAATGTAGATTACTGCACACAGTATTTACTCAATTGATGCGCTTCGTTATTGATATCGAAGCGTCAAAAAAAACGTAAATCAACATTAAATTTCGTGGAAAGCCTCGATCAAAATAATTAATTAATTTGTGTGTTTTCAGCTGTCCATAATGGACAAAAAATTAGATCAATTGATGTACGTACTGAACGCGGTAGCACAAAAGCAGCAAATTCCTTTACGTAGCATCGAGGACGAAGTATGACTATCGGCCTTCTAGCTACGCCTTTGATCAAGAATCGTATTGCTATAAAAATATGCGTCAAAATTTTAAGTTCACAAGTTCAGAAAGATAATCTGAACGCCCTGACTATATGCAGGTAAAACCAAAAATACTTTAGCTGTCCACAATCAATTATCAATCTAACGACTCGAATTACTTTTGATTAAATATAGTATATGGACCATACGTCTGAAAATCGATAAAAATTCACCCAAGAGAAATAAAAAAAAATAACAATAAAAAATATCAAGAGTGTATTCGCGCAGAGTATTTAAATTACATGTAAATTTTTTCCAATCAGTTTGATTTATTATCTCTTGTTCGAGAAAAAAATATTCAATGAAATTGAATTGCAAGCGAAACTTGTCTAAGCTACGCTCTGTAGTATACGAAAATTTCTATTTGAAAAAAGAAATTAAATTTTACTCCAAGTCGCCAATGAAAAAAAAACAACGATTTAGCGTACATGCTTGGGAACTCGTTATAGTTTTTAACTTATCAAAGGGTAGGATAATAATCAATCATGTATATAAAATTGTTATAATTCTGTGATTTACTTAGTTTTATTATTACTTATAAATAGTATTTAATGTAAATACTCAGTTTAATATTTTATCGAATGTTCAGGCTGATGAGTTACGAATGACAAAAGTGCGACTGTGCCCTTTTCATCATTTAGTACGTAAATAACATAATTTTTAATAGATTCATTGAGACACTGTTTTTGGAAGAATGGCATTATTGATTGTAATAACTTCGAAAACTAGTTTAAATTTAAATGAACGTCAAAACGTTCGATTTTCAATTTTAAGATTTTCAATGAAAAATGACACATTCATTGTCAGATTGTTATTTCCGCCGTCTTCATCGATTAATCATTTTAATAATATTATAAAATTATACTTCATTGTTCAACTTTTTAATGTTATCATAAAAATTATGTAAATGAAGAAAAAAAGTAGAAGTTTAAAATGAAAGTAGATGATATGATAATCAATAGTTCAACTATAAAACTTTTCAATTAAAAATATACCAAAATATTTTTGGCTTTATCAGATGAAAATATTTTTACTCGAAGGATAATTAAATTATAAAAGTTACTCAATCTTACCAACTTATAAACTGCGGATTTATTTCCATTATTGCAGTCTTACTTTACTTCCGCATGTGTAGATAAATTATAAATTCCAAAGACGATTTTAGATATTAAAAGTTAAAACTTATTCAAAAGAAATTAAAAGATGTTATATAATTGTTGATGATTTTAAATATATCTTTGATATCCTAGAAAATATGAAATTATGGATCAGTGAAATGATTTTTGGCATTCCCAGTAGTCTTTTATCTTTGTAGGTAAATTCTTTCGAGAATTTATTTCAATAATCTTAGACGATAGAAATTCAAGTGCCTATAACTGGTGTCTGGTGCAAAAATATGCTTAATTTTTCGTTCGAGCATTTCAAAAGTCATACTTTTTATTTCATAATACAAAAATTTTATTTTTTATTTAAAAATCGCTCTTTTTTTTAAAGTTCCTAAAAAGTATTTCCGTAATCGAAGTAAATGGGTCCACGCATAAAGAATTTCAAAAATTTGTTTGCTACGATAGACCTAAATCTACGGATCTATAATGAAAATTGTAAAGAATGAAAAGTAAATTTTTCATCATAATATCTGTAAATATTCATTATAAAATATTTTATATAGTTTTCGACGTTTTCTGCACCATTGCTGTACTTGCAATTGCTTATGCAAAACTAGACTTACGAAGAAATCTTGTAAAATACACGAATTAATTCTCAAAAAACGATGTTTTTTCTGGGATCAAAGCAAAATCTGAACTCAAATACCAGACATGTACGATTGTATGCGACTCAATGATGAAAAAATTTATGATAATACCTCGCTATGCACAATAGTAAATAGATGAAAAATGTCTGCTTATTAATATGAAAGGTGCCTTTAGCCTTACAAAAAAAACTCTAGACCAGAAAAAAATATTATAGATTAAAATCTCAATAAGAAACACGTGCATTAAGTATCGAATGCTTTTTTCTAACATATTGTTGTCGAATTTATGATAATCATAAGTTTTTTTATCAACAACTAGTCCATGTGTAAGCTCTTCTACGTAATATATTTGTAGGACAGTAATAAGTAATACGATTTAAAAACTAACTTATATAACTACGCAAGCCTTAAACTCTGCGCTAAATAGTTATTAAGACTACGTCGAATTATTTATTTATTCTGCTTACTAAAAATGAAAATAATAAAATGTACATTAAACTAATTACTTTGTTAGTCATTAATTGGTAAATTATTACATTGAATTTGTAGTTTTGATCCTAATCTCAATTTAGATCATAACTTTTTCGAAAATTATGCACAATACTTTAATTTAAAAATATTTGTATTTTTTTGTAGTCTTTTCCTGAATTGCTTTTTTATTTTAATTTAGTCCTGATCGTCCGTTCCGGGGCGCCATCAGTTGGATTACCGGCACATTAACTTTTACTAATGCTGAGGCAGTCTACAGTAAATACTCATGCTGTAATGTTACTGCTTCAATGAGATTTACCTCCATCATACCAGTTCTGTTTATTCAAATAATAGAAGTGATGTGAATTGTTTCAGCAATAAAGTGTTTAAAATTATAACCTGTTAACCTTGTAGTGAATTTTTATGTACGTGTAAATTGTGTAATCAAGTTATCAGTATTTATAATGTTCATGTTTTGCTTAATGTAACCTAGAAATTTGTGTTTGTTTTTGTTGTTTATTTAATCATCTAATTGTGACTGAAGTTTTGTTTCCATTTGATTAATTTTTTGTGTGATGTTGCAGAGCTTGAATAAAAACACCAAACCAAGATGAGTTATCATCATGGACGGGGTAATGATAAGAAACCCAGAGGCTTTGGTTTCTCTGGATTTCAAATATCTTCTACTCCTCAACGAGGGGTTGCTATACCACCACCAACTATTAAACCTGGCATTAGCAAGCAAGGATACCACACGATGAATGCAATATCTGAAAATGCTCTTTCTATCAATTGGAATGCTGCAACTAAACCAAGAAAAACAGAAGAAGAGTAATAATTAATGCTATTTGAATTTATCAAAAGTGGGGTCCTTCAGTAGTGCCCATTATAACACAGCTTAAAATTTCAGATATTTTGATGAAGATGATGAACCTTCTGCTAGTCTTGAATATATTCCAGCGCCAGGTTCCCCATCATATGATAAACATAAGAAAAAGAAAGAAGAGAGCGACAGTGAAGAAGACCCTTTGGACGCTTTTATGGCTGGTATTAATGAAGAGATAAAAAAAAGTAAAACTACAGAAGGAGAAGAACGCAAAGAAGAAAAAATGAAAGGAGTAAGAACTGATATTGATACTGAAGATAATGAAGAAAGTTACTACAGGTATGTAATTATTACATTTTCTCTTCTAAATTCATGAACTTGTAATTACTGTTTGTATTTTTTAGGTATATGGAAGAAAATCCAAATGCTGGATTGCAAGGTGAAGATTCTGATCAAGAGATAGAGTATGATGAGGATGGAAATCCTATTGCTCCTCCTAAAAAGAAAGAGATTGATCCTTTGCCTCCAATCGACCATAGTTTAATTTCTTATGAACCTTTTGAAAAAAACTTTTACATTGTGCATGAAGAAATTTCTCAGTTAAATAGACAACAAGTTGATGATCTCAAAAAAACATTGGGTATCAAAGTTACTGGTGCTATGCCACCTAATCCTGTCACCAGTTTTGGACATTTTGGTTTTGATGATTCATTGATAAAATCAATTAGAAAACATGAATATACGCAACCTACGCCTATTCAAGCACAAGCTATTCCTACAGCAATGAGTGGTCGTGATTTAATAGGTATTGCTAAAACAGGTAGTGGTAAAACAGCGGCTTTTATTTGGCCAATGCTTATACACATAATGGATCAAAAAGAATTAGAGGAAGGAGATGGCCCAATAGGATTAATTTTAGCTCCAACAAGAGAGTTATCACAACAAGTATGATCTTATTAACATTTTCATATTTGCTATAATTTCTACTTCAAATTGAATATTAAAAAGTAATTTTAAACTTATTCACCAGATTTATCAAGAAGCAAAAAAATTTGGAAAAGTTTACAACATAAGAGTAGTTTGTTGCTATGGAGGAGGTAGTAAATGGGAACAAAGTAAAGCCTTAGAAGGGGGAGCTGAAATCGTTGTTGCTACTCCTGGAAGATTAATTGACTTGGTAAAAATGAAAGCTACAAATTTAACAAGAGTTACATTTTTAGTCTTGGATGAAGCTGATAGAATGTTTGACATGGGTTTTGGTTAGTAATGTTCATTGATGAAATATTTGATGCTTATCATTTATAAAAATTTACTTAACTATTTGATTATTTCATTACAGAACCTCAAGTCAGATCTATTTGTAATCATGTTCGACCAGATAGACAAACTTTATTGTTTAGTGCTACTTTTAAACGTAGAATTGAAAAACTAGCTAGAGATATTCTGACAGATCCGATAAGAATTGTACAAGGTGATGTTGGTGAAGCAAATACAGATGTAACCCAAAATGTTCTTGTATTTTATAATAATTTACTAGGCAAATGGAACTGGTTGAATCACAATTTAGTAGAATATTTAAGTTCTGGTAGTGTTCTTATATTTGTTACAAAAAAGGTAAATATCACTTACATATTTCTTTCCAATGCAAATCACATATAGAATGATAAATATTTTGTATTGTAGCTTAATGCTGAAGAATTGGCAAACAATTTGAAATTGAAAGAGTTTGATGTACTCCTACTTCATGGTGATATGGATCAAATAGAAAGAAACAAAGTTATTACAGCTTTTAAAAGAAAAGAAGTCAATATATTAGTAGCTACAGATGTAGCAGGTATAATTCTTTGTTTTTTTTTTCTTTTTCATTGTCTACTTTTTTTATTTATAATGACTTCTTTTAACTCATAAAATAAGTTAAATCAATAATATACAAAAATTATATATTTTTAACAGCTCGTGGTTTGGATATTCCTCACATAAGAACTGTGATCAATTACGATATTGCTAGAGATATCGATACGCACACACATAGAATTGGTAGAACGGGTCGTGCTGGAGAAAAAGGCACTGCTTATACACTTGTCACTGAAAAAGACAAAGAATTTGCTGGACATTTAGTAAGAAACTTAGAAGGAGCAAACCAAGAAGTACCAAAAAGTCTAATGGACTTGGCATTGCAAAGCAGTTGGTTTAGAAAATCAAGATTTAAGAGTGGCAAAGGAAAACAGGTCAATGTCGGCGGGGCAGGCTTTGGTTTTAGGGCTAAAAGTTCAAATTCAAATTACGACGTGAGTTACTTTTCAAATTATACACATTTTAAAACCCGTAACAAAATTTAAACAAAAATCTTTCATGTCTAGAATTATCAATCCAGCAGTTCGGCTTCGACGTCGGAACCTTATAGACCAAAAGAACTTGCTGAAGTGGTAAAAAAAATAGAACGTTCTTCTGGACCGTGCAGTGACAGGCTTTCTGCTATGAAAGCTGCTTATCGTAGTCAGTATAATTCTCAGGTATGTCATTCATTTTCTTAGCTTGTGTAATTCGTTAACTAAACGAGTTAATTGTTACAGTTTCGTGCATCTTCCGATCATACTTGGGAACAAACGATAACACCTCCATCTGTTATAATGCCTCCACCTCCACCGCCTCCAACGGGATCAATGACATCAGATAATAAACCCCAATGGGGAGCTATGCCACCTCCACCACCATCTTCAAGTAATGAAAGTAAAGACAGTGATGAAGGACCTAGACAAGAAAGAAAAAGAGCGAGAAAAAGTCGTTGGGAATAATGATAAAATTGTACTATAATGACATCGGTGAATTCATAACATATTTGTTTTCAAAAAGAGTGATTAACTGAAGAACAATTATAATTTAAATTCCTTCATTAATTTTAATTTAAAAGTTTGTCCATAAAAGCTTCAGCAATTTTGTGAAAGTAAATTTTACGTAAAAACTGAAGCAGCTAATTGTATATTGAACTTACACTTTGTGTTTGATTTGATGTTAATTTTTTTTAATTCCAGATTTCGTAAATGTGTACATTTGATAAAAAATTGATTCGTATTTATTTATTGTAAATAGTTTTTGAGAATCATTGAAGGAATTCTACACGCTTATAAAATCCTTAATTTGTAAAAGATTATCAAATTCGAATTCATTAAAATGTATGTACATTAGTTGATTAATTAAACTTTTTACAGTAAAATTTGTGGTTCGTTATGTTTATTTTTTAATCAATTAGTACTTTTGTGCATGGTGTGCTCGCACAAATCACACCTGTCTTCATTTACATTATTATGAATTTAAAAACTTGCGCTCGATCCATCGCATGCCAATATCCAATTCACAAATTCAACGAATAATAAGGCTTTTTCACAGTCGTCACTATAGGGCGTTTTTCAGATTGTCACGAAATGGTCACTTTACTGATTTGCCTGGAGGAATAACAAACAAGGTGTTGCGAGTTAAGTAAATGAGAGACCTAGTTTGTTTTGCCTCTAGGAAAATCTGTAAAGTGACCAATAGTGACGACTGTGAAAATGCCTATAACAATACGTTAACTTTGAAGACACAGCCATAGGCAATCCAAATTGAATTTCATTTCTAGCATCACGTAGGTTTAGTTACATGATACACTGTGCCGGTGTAGAAGTTGGCCCTTGCTAACATACAATTAAAAAAGTTCAGTCGCTAACGAAAAGCTAAATTTCTAAAAAAGTGTTAAAAAATTCGTGAGTCGAGATAAAGTACTCGTTATTCGAGGTGTTTAACCTACAATATTTTTTCTTCAAATTTATAGTGAATATACATTCACGGTGAATACACATAATCTACGGAGTAATGAAGAGCAATCGTGACGTAGTTAGGTAAAAAATATATGCCATATTGCCATGTTTATTATTTTAGCAATAATTGAACTCAATTACTCTTCAGGGTAAAAGAAGAGCCGAGCGATACTTGGACGAACTCAGGTGACGACAATACTTTCCGTTCAATGGACTATTTCAAAGCCGAAAACTTGAAAATAAATGAATCATCGGTGAGTTCAATGATTAAATTATGTTTTAATTTTTTAGTATCGAAAACTATTAAACAAATTTGATTTTAGGCAAATTACAAAAATTGGGTTATGTCATTGCAAAAAAATGTAGATGAAAAAATATTCATAGATATCGAATTCAAAAATATTAAACCTGAGCTGACGTCCCTATCAACCTGCAAAACTGAGAATCAAAGTTGCCTACCTATTGCGAAAATAAAAAAGGATAATCAGACGAATTACTTGAATGATAAATTTCTGATAGTTTTGATAAAAAAAGATTTCGATTATCATAATAATTGTCGATTTCAAGTAAATTCCCGATTGAAATTTTATGAACGTGAGGAAGTGAATAAGCTTGGAAAAACTACTAAACAGAAATTATCGTATGCGTGCAAAATGTGTCAAAAAACGTTTAAAGAAAATTCGAAATTAAAAAGACACATCAACGCGACACATATGGGAATTAGACCGTATGAATGTGATATTTGTCACAAGTCATTTTCATGCAAAGGTAACCTCAAGAAACACAAAAGTGCAGTACATGACTGTAGAAGACCCTTCGGGTGTGATATTTGTAACAAATCATATAGCCGAAAGGAACACCTCATAATTCACACAAAATCAATTCATGATCAGAGCAAACCTTTCGGGTGTGACATTTGTCATAAATCATTTTCACAAAAAGGAAATCTCATTACTCACATAAAGATAGTTCATATCCGTATTAAATCCTTCGAGTGCAGCATTTGTCACAAATCCTTTGGATACAAGGGTGACCTCAAGAAACATTTAATTTCAGTACATGATTGTAGTAAATTTGAGTGTGATATTTGTCACAAATTATATGGTCGCAAGGAATACCTCAAAATTCACAAAAATACAGTACATTATCGTAGCAAACCCTTCGAATGTCATATTTGTCAGAAAGGTTTTGGATTCAAGCATTGCTTAGAAACGCACATGAATACAGTTCATTATCGTAAAAAACCATTTGAATACGTTTGTGGAATATGTCAAAACTCATATGGCAGCAATAATTACCTCAATAATCACATAAGAGCAGTACATGATGGTATCAAACCCTTTGAATGTGAGATTTGTCACAAATTATTTGGGTTCAAGGGTGACCTCAAGAAACATTCAAATGTAGTACATGATTGTATCAAACCCTTCGAGTGCCACATATGTCACAAATCGTTTGGATACAAACATCACCTGAATTCTCACATAAATGTAGTTCATGATCGTAGCAAATCAATCGAGTGTGACATTTGTTACAAATCATTTGGATGTCAGGCTTATCTAAAAAAACATATAAATAGAATACATGATCGTAGCAAATCATTCGAGTGTGATATTTGTCACAAATCATTTGGACTAAAAGGCAATCTTAAAATTCATATAAATACAGTTCATGATCTTAATTAGACCTTTGAATGTGAGATTTGTCAAAAATTCTTTCGATGCAACGGTTAGCTCAAAAAACATTTAAATGCAGTTCACGATCAAATCAAATCTTTCGAGTGTGATATTGACCCAAATTATTTGGGTACTAGAATCTGCTCAAAACTCACATAAATTTAGTACATGATCGTAGAAAACCCGGTCTCAAATCTTAATTGCGATTCAAATCTTTCATAATTGTAGTACATGATAAGATCAGACACTTCGAAAGTGACATTTGTCCCAAATCATTTAGATACCAGAAAAATCTCTAATATCGCATAAATGCAGTACCTGATCTCAGCAGACCGTAGAAATGTGAAATTTATCTAGAAACATTTGAACAAAAAAAAAGACACAAGTCTTCGATCGATTCGACTCTACCATACGCTTCGAACTTTCAGAAAATTTTTCACATCAGTATCCTTCAATATTTTAATTCATTAAGACAACCAAAAATTTCAAAATATTTTTTTTATTACTACTCATAATCAATTTTTGTAATTAAAATACAAATTTAGGTATACAAAATGTCACTTATTAAAATAAGTTAAAAAATTCATAGTTATCGCGCATGAAAAATTGCAGTATTTCAAGACAATCTCGTAAGCTCATCTAGCAGCATCCAATAAATAGCCATTCAAGCATTACATCTTAAAAATATATGATAAAATTTAAACCACACGATTAAAGTTGAAAATCCCTGTTCTCGCGAGACGCTGTAAGTTTGACATTTAATTCTAACGATAAAGATAAAAAAATCTACTCTGCTCTACAACTATAAATAAATCTGGCAAGTGAATTGGTGAGTTAATATGTCTGCTCTCGGTTGGATCCTTGAATGGCTATTTAGGGCACCGATGCTAGTTGAGAGACTGCCTTGCGTAGTTGTTGCATTGTACGTAATACCGCTTACGTTTGCGCTTATAAAGTAAATAAACGATACACTTTCGTCTTTGTAATCAACATTTCAATGTGACTGACAGCTGGCTCATTATTTTTCAGTGTTTGAGCGCTGCAGATCGACACTTCATAAAATCTTTTGTAAAGTACTAGAAAATTATAAAATAACTTATGTTTACTTATGATCATTAATTCTTATAAAATAAAAGACTTTTGATACTACAGATAATGAATAAAAATATTTTAATCAATTTAAAATCATCGATTAAAATATTTTCATTGTTTAATAATTTTGATTCCCATGAGACACAAATTTAAATTTCAAATGATATTTTTTGATGAAAAAAGTACAATAATCCGAAATATAATTGAAATGGAGTCAAGAAGTTTAATGACAATACGCAACGAGTATAATAAACTTCCTGAGAGTGAAAAAGAGCAATAAAATTTCTAGGAAAATATGTAATTAAAAAACCAGGATCCAGTGCACGTGCTAGTTGAGGTTCATTTCTACGCTGTTCACCAGTATACTATGACAACTGTATGATTACCATCGTCGTTGCGTGATTCATTCGAGCAAACGATTGCCATGATTCAATTTTATAATTCTCATATGTATGAATCGCTGAAAAAGGCAAAACTCAATATAGATGCGGGCACAGCCGAGCTGCTGCTGCACCTACTTTTCCTCGGCACGATTGTATAAGATAATTATTATGACTTTTTCTTTACGGAAACCGTATGTACATGAAACGCTCGCGAAAAAATTCGAAAGATGCACGGTGCAAAATGTGTCTTCCCTGTGGAGCAGCATCGATTCGACCCTTGCTCGCGCGCGGACTCAAAGTCATCGAAGCGAGTCTGAAGTACGCACACGCGGGAGGGTGGAAAAACTCATCGAGACGCCAATAAGAGGCCTCCGGAATGCTGCGGCCTCTCAGATTTTTCCTTAGTCGACATGTATAGGTACAAGATCGTTATAAGATCGCTGCGTTTGCCTATGGCAGTAGTGTATAGTATACTGGTAAACTTGAAAATGCGCACGTACAGCGATGTGAGTCGTGTAGGCGTCTCTCTCTCTCTCTCTCGCTCGGCTTTTACGCGCGCAGGAAAAAGAGAGACCTTGCGCGAGTTCGCGCGAGTTGTTGATTGTTATATTTGTCGTTGTTTTCTCTTTCTTCGTTTGACAAAGCGAGGCCTTTGTTTTTCCATGTATACTTTCTTCGATTAAAAAACAATACTTTGTGTGTTTTTTTCAGCAACGACAGTCGAGACGATTCAATTTCTCCAAAATATCGAAATAACCAAAAATGCTATTCAAATATCGTTGCCAAACGAAGCAACTTTTGACCTCCTCAAGGCTGCTGCTGCTGTTGCTGCGTTACCGTGCTCGTTCTCCTCGTTCTGATTGTCTGCGGTGCAGCTTGCTGCTTGTCCGTCGATTTCTTGGCGATTCTGTCGGCGGTAGCGCGAGGTACACCGTACGGACTCGGGCTGACTCTGTTGTCCTTCGTCGCTCTCGATCCGAACGGCCTCTTACTCGTTGCGGTAGAGGAGCTCGTAATGGACGACGATACTCTCGATGACGTTCGCGGCCTGTCCGTTTCCTGGAACGACTGCGCTTTGCGAGTCGGATGCTGCTGCTGTTGCGTCTTGTTGTCGGAATTTTCCTTGAACGACTCGGCTTTCTTCGTCACGCCTCGGGGTCTCGATGTCGCGCTCTGACGTTTGTTGCTTTCCTTCAGAGGAATTTCTTTAGCGTTAGTTCTGACGCTGTCTTTGGAGGCGATGCTCTTGCTGTCTTTGTTATCCTCTTTTCTCGATACCGACAAAATTTTATTCGAATTATTGTCTTTAACAATTGGTGTATCGGGTAACTCGTCCTTCGACTCTTTTACGGTTGGACTAGTACCATCTGTGGAATCAATTTTTGGCACGTCAACGACCCCGCTATCGACTGAAGTGGGTGAAACAGGCGGCGTTACTCGGGTATCCGTGCTCACATTTTCATCGACTTTATCATCGTCGTTCGGCTTAACATCCAACGAATCGCTGTTCAAATTCACTCCCTCGTCTTCTTCGTCGTTATCGATATCGATACTGCATGCCCTCGTCAACAGAGCCTCGTTCTTCTCGTTCTGCTTTCGCAACTCCTCCCAATCCTTTCTGGGCTTGTAGCTCGTCTTCCTTCTGACCAACGGCTTCTTCTCGCTGATATCGATGTCGGGAATGAAGAGTCGCAGAGCCTTGGGCCCGATGGGAAAATTGAGCGAGTCCTCGGCGACGCGTTTCTCGTTCATGATCGTCTCGAGACTGGTGCGCGACGTCACCTCCTGGTGCTTGTTGAAGGCCGACACGAGCTGCGCCACGGTGTACTTGGGCTCGTCGTTCTCGGACTCGCTCTCGACGTCGGGCCCGTGACACTCCGAGCTGCCCGAGGACGGAGTTTTGTTCTTGCCGATTTCTTCGGAGTCGTCGGTCAGGGTGTCGGATCCGATGGACAGCAGAGAGTCGAGATTTGCCTCGGATGCGTTCAGAGATGTTGGGCCAGTTTCGATGATGATTTTGTCATCTGAAATTTATGATTGTTATTAAAACAAGATCGAATTACCCAAATGCATGTTACTGATTCAGTTACTGACCATTATTAGATTGATGATCAATACCATTATTACTAATTGCTTCTTCATTCTTCTTATCATTGCCATGGCGTTTTTGAATAATCTCCAACGAATTTTTTTTCATATCATTGATTACATTTTTATCCTGAAAAAATATAGAACGTGGTTTAATGGAAATGGACATTATCTTAATCTTGTCGATTAATAAAATTGATATTGCTCACTTTACGGAGGGTAGATTCATCGACTTTTTCAACATTATCATTTACCACGACGTCGTCCAAATCTTGCACAGTCGTCGTAGCAAGGGATGAAGATTCCGATGCCAAAGAAGTGCTGCTCGAGCCGTGCTCCAACTGTCGGAAAATCGCCAATACGTCCTCCGTCTTGGATCGTTCCTTTTTGTGCATCAGCTCGCGCCTGTGCCTTCGCAAGCTCTCGAGACTGCGGTAAATGTCGAGCATGCCCTGAGATTTCGACAGTGTTTTCAAGCCGTACAGTTTCTCTCTGGAACCGTCGAAGTTGCAACACTGCAGCGGATTGCCGTTCAGAGCTTGGTGGCGCAAGTCTCCGTCTTTGATTCCTAAGCGATCGTTGAGCAGAGGGAGGCAAGCTTGAGATCGCGATTGCACCTGGCTGAGGCCTCTGAAAGGGGGAGATTAATGACCGGTTAATTAATTACGAATTAATTATAATTGATTAACGTGAATGAATGTGATAGGAACCTGATTTTCGAGAGCACGCTTATTCTGTTGAGTCCTTGCGCCATGCTAGCCCTCAAGGCGTTTCGATCTTGGGCCTGATGAAGCAAACCTTCAGTCTGTTCCTTATTCAATAGGCAGCTCTGACTCGTGGCTAAGTTACTTTTCGACGAGGATAAGGAATCGGCTAAACTCATTCTCGACGAGCTCAGATCCTGCTGGCCCGTAGACCCGTAATAATCGTCCGTACCAAACAAGCTGAGGCTGCCTTGACTCTTGGCCAAATTGCGATTCAAACAAGTTTCGCTCTTGGTCCAGGTATGTTGACTTGATTCCAAAGGGGGTTGTTGGTGTGGCTGTTGTAGCTGCTGTGATTGTTTTGACTGCGGCTGGTGCTGCTGTTCGTGGCTTACACCGATGCTCTTGTTACTATCGTTCGTATTTTGATTCAAGAGAGCCGCTCGACGCAAATTTTCCCTGCTTACGACTCGCTCCAAAAGGACCTCGCGAGATTTCGAGAGATACTTTCGCAGATGAGCCGAGGCTTGGGTCGGTGCCTTTCGTAGCCATTCGTGACGCAAACATTGCTTGGCAGTCATGCGCGCACTGATACATAAAAAAAAATACGTAAGAGTAATTATTATAATTGTCATTGCGCTTGACCAAATACCTAGGTTCCAAAACAAGAAGTTTCGCCAGGAAGTCTTTGGCCTGGCTCGACACATCCTCAAATAGTTCCTCCGGGAAATCGACTTCACCGAGCATGATGTTTCTAAAGGTTTCTTGATCGGTTTCACCGCCGAACGGTGAAAACCCCGATAGCAGTACATAGGTTGTTACACCCAAGGACCTGCACTCAAAAATATTTTTTCATTTATATCATGCAGAACCATCGAAGTCAGAAAATAACATATAGTTGAATTATTTACCACATATCCGCTGCCAGTGTTATCGGCTCATAGTGAAGAATTTCAGGAGCTGTAAATGCGTAAAAAATACATCCATAAGTAATTTATCTAATCGACCATTCATAAACGCGCGTCCTTGTACGTGGCACGTATGCACCTAAAACGAGAATTATTTACCTTTGTTCACGCCTATGCGCGCATTCTCGTTTTGACAGCTGAAAATTCGCATCGCGGCGTAAAATTTATACCACATACGCTCCCCGTTGGAATTCATTAGCATTCGTTTAATGAGCTGCTACTCGTTGCAACAAAGTAAGGCGCGCGAGCGAGCCAAGTAATTTCATGCGCGCGTAAATCGTGTTAAATGCCTGACACGCTCGCGCGAGCTACCGCGTTGTTCGACTCGGTCTACGTTCATCGAACTCGCGCTCGCGCGATTTTGAATTGTCGATAACATGCTCACCTACGTAGTCCGGCGTACCCAGGATCTCTCGTACTTCCGTGCCGTCGAGGACGACCCGCGATATCTCGAAGTCGCACAGCTTGACGCTGCAGTCCGGAAAGTTACCCATCATCACCACGTTTTGAGGCTGAAAAATTCATGATATGTGGATTAATTATATTGTAATCGCATGCTCGTTCACACGTTTTCATTTTGATTGATTTATTGTACAACTACGAGCTCGGACAAAGAGTCAGATGGCGATTACATTCATTCGTTTTATCGAAACAATTGGAGTTACAAATTGATCTTTCGACAATCGCCCGATTAAAATTAAAATTTCTCAAATTGTTTCACAAATCACTGCCACGCCAAAAATAATTGAGCTATTATGTCTTTATGTCACGAGGCTGCGTCGATGCGATTTCGCGAACGATCAGTCGAATTAAAAATACTCAAGGAATTGTCCTTTACCAAAGTTATTTTCTTTCGCTATAAGATATGTGATCTTAACATTAATACGAGAGTATAACCTTATTATTTCATGGTCTGCGCGACGATGATTCGTGAATACATTGAGTATACCTATAAGCGACTAACGATGAGATTATCCATCTCCACATTTAGACCCTGACACTGTTTTCGCCTGGATAAATAATATCTATATATTTCTTTCATTGTTCGATCCTTTATAGAAACTACATAACGCGTATACAAAGCCGACTGATGACTTTGTCATAACTCAATTTTCATAAGACACTGTTCTCTCGTATACCGAGTTCAATGTCAAGTGCTCCAATAATATACGGATCGTCGCGCTCGCGTTTTTTAAAGGACTCGAGTAGCTGTTCTACGCAAGTCCTGTTTTTTTTTCTTTGTGATAATTGTATCCCGGGTTCCTGAATTAGTATGTATAATACAACGCTTGTCTTCGATCATCGCCGATACTTTACAGTAAAAACATCGCGGCTTCGATCGCGCGACACGTATCCCCCGCGCGCGCTACGTCGTTGCAATTTTAACAAAGCAGTTCAGCACCAGTCGCACGTGCGTGCAAAACAATCGTACATCCACTTTTTCTTCTTCTTTTCTTTCTTTTTGTCGTTGTCGTTGTTGCAACGCGCAAAGGATGTATCGGATCGCGCGCGCGGAGTGCTGCAGCACCATTCGAGTGCGCAGTAGCCTCCTCGTATATATTTGTATAAGGCCTTGACACTCGCGCTCGAGCGACGACGCTCCGCAGGCTCAGCCCATACCACAAAGCGATCGTCGGGCGCGGACGAGCTCGCTCGAGCGAACGCGTGGGCGGTATTGCGCATTGTCTACGAGAGCGAGCGCTATGTTGAACTCGCGCAGTGCGAAGATCGTGCTAAAACTCGAGTTTTTGCGGACTCGTTTCGTCGATATTCCAAACGATGACTTTTCGATGTTCGGTGCATTGTAGTAAAATATATATTTGGTTAAATACAAATTTTAGCTCTTGATAAACAGAGATCAGGTAGAGCCTCGATTGTGTGACAGCATGGATGAGAAACTATCGAGCGACTCACTCAAACTAATTTCTAATATAAACAAAATTAATAACTTTTCCTTTCGGGGCGGAACATTTTGGAATGAATGTTAAAATTCTTTATAATATGTACGTATGCGTAAGGATCTATTAAGTCAATGTAACAGGGAGTTTTTTCGGAGAATTTGAAGTTTGAATTTTAAACAGATTCAAATATCATAAGAAAAATGATTACCTTAATTGTAAATAATACAATCATAAACGATTTCGACATCGAACACTAATCATGTTCATAATAAAAACAAATTAGTTTGAATGTTGTCTCTCCCGATGAAACAAGCCATAATACCAAAAGATAAATTTACTTTACTGTAACTAAATATTAGAATCCATCATTTCATTTAGACTTCAAAATGGATAAAAGTGAAAAGGAATCCGAAGAAGTTGTTACAATAGATAATTCAAGTGAACATGATATTGTTGTTTCGGACGACAAACAATACGTTTGTAATATTTGTCAGGAATCATTTGGACTAAAATCAAGCATGATAACACATCGAGAAACGATTCATAATGATCAGAAAGATTACGCATGCGACAAGTGCCAAAAGAAATTTGAGTTCCGAAGTCATTTGAGTAGACACCAAATATCGGTCCACAAAGGCTGCAAAGATTTTACATGCGAGCAGTGCGAGAGAAAGTTTGATAATAAATCAACTTTACTTAAGCACAAAAAAATATTTCATGAAGTTCTCAAAGATTACCTATGTGAAAAGTGCGCGAAGAAATTTACAAATAAATGGAATTTTCTCACACACGTGAAGACAGTCCATGAGGGTCGCAAAGATTTTGTATGTGACGAGTGCGAGAAAAAATTTGGGGTAAAATCGCTATTGATTAGACACCAAAAGACAGTCCACGAGGGCCGCAAAGATTTTGCATGCGATGTGTGCGAAAATAAATTTGGGAACAAATCGAATTTGATCATCCATAGAAGAACAGTACACGATGGTCGCAAAGATTATGGGTGTGACAAGTGCGAGAAGAAATTTAGGGATCAAAGGGATTTGACCAGACACCACAAAGCTGTCCATGAAGGGCGCAGAGATTACGCGTGTGACAAGTGCGAAAGAAAATATAGCCAAAAAATAAATTTGTACAGGCACCAGACGACATTCCATCAAGGTCGTAAAGATTTCGCATGTGATAAATGCGAAAAAAAATTTGGACGAAAACCGCATTTGCTCAGACATCAAAGGACAGTACATGAAGGTCGCAGAGATTTTGCATGTGATGAATGCGATATGAAATTTGCACAAAAACCGCATTTGCTTATCCACCAAAGAGCAGTCCACAAAGGTTGCACAGATTTCACCTGTGATATTTGTGAAAAGAAATTTGGATACAAATGGATTTTGCTTTTACACCAAAAGAGAGTACACGAAGGTCGCAAAGATTTCGTATGTGGCAAGTGTGAGAAGAAATTTGGACAAAAATCGAATTTGCTAATCCACTTAAAGACGGTACACGAAAGTCGCAAAGATTACGCATGCCATAATTGCGAGAAGAAATTTAAACAAAAAAAGAATTTGCTCAGTCACCTATGGAAAATACACAAAAGTTGCGAAGATTACGCATGTGACAAGTGTAAGATCAAATTTGAACACAAAACGCAGTTGCTTGAGCACCTAATAACAGTTCACAAAGAACATTAAGATACAAGGAGAAATATATAGGATCAAAGTAATTTAATTAAACGCCGAAAAGCAGTACATCTTGATCGTTGAGGTTTCACGTATGCTAATAGTGCAAAAATAAATCATGTACTTCGTCAAATTTCAGTTGACACCCCCCAAAAGATATTAAATTCAATGTTAATTCAATTTAATAATATAATATTAAATTAAGTAAGATAAAATTGTTGTATCATTTGGTTTTTCACATTTGATTTGCTCATAAGGTCAAAATTTTTGCATGCGAATATGTGAAAAGGTTTACAAAATAAGCATCAAGTTTTTTCCAGTACTCGCACAGCCCTAATATTTATGTTACAAATATTAAATATATTTTGAATGACCTGAAAATCACAATTTAATTGTTTTAAAAAATGAATGCTAGTTTCCAACCTCAATTAAATGCCAAATTCAAATCGATAATATTAATTTGAGGTTTTACCACTAGTTGGCGAGTACCTTTATCTGTGAATCTGCAAATGAATTGTATAAATATACAATATATGGCCGATTCTCTGTGAAATCGAATGGCCAAAAAAATTTTTTTTTCTGCAAATATGAAAAACTTGCTGTTTCCGATGTCAGAAATGTCCCCAAATTTTATTAGAATTTTTGGGACCATCTATCACTCTTTTTCAGGGGCCCGAAGTTGGCCATTTTAGGGTTTTTTTGAAATTCATGAAAAATCACAAATATTCAAATAATTCCTGAATCAGGGTAGAATGATTCAAAAGTAAAAGTGCCCAGCAACTTTTTTGTTGGAAATTGTCCAAATTTTCAGAAAAAAAATATGCCAAAGTGATTGGAGCCACCTAAAGAGAGCATAGTGGGAAAACAAAAAAAAAACACAAAACAAGAAATCTACTCGAGTTCGAACCGGACTTTCATTTCCTAAACTATGTGAAAAGCTTCCTAAAGATGTCAACTAATGCCTGATAAAGTTTTGTAATGGGTCTTAAAGTTTAACGCAATGTAGACAACAATGTGTGGCGAAAAACATGCAAAAAAGGCCTGAAAATGGCTGTTTTTGGTGATTTTAGGCATTTTGGGCCTATTTTTGACCTTTTTTGCATGTTTTTCGTCACACATTGTTGTCTACATTGCGTTAAACTTTAAGACCCATTACAAAACTTTATCAGGCACTAGTTGACATCTTTAGGAAGCTTTTCACATAGTTTAGGAAATGAAAGTCCGGTTCGAACTCGAGTAGATTTCTTGTTTTGTGTTTTTTTTTATGTTTTCCCACTATGCTCTCTTTGGGTGGTTCCAATCACTTTGGCATATTTTTTTTCTGAAAATTTGGACAATTTCCAACAAAAAAGTTGCTGGGCACTTTTACTTTTGAATCATTCTACCCTGATCCAGGAATTATTTGAATATTTGTGATTTTTCATGAATTTCAAAAAAACCCTAAAATGGCCAACTTCGGGACCCTGAAAAAGAGTGATAGATGGTCCCAAAAATTCTAATAAAATTTGGGGACATTTCTGACATCGGAAACAGCAAGTTTTTCATATTTGCAGAAAAAAAAATTTTTTGGCCATTCGATTTGACAGAGAATCGGCCATATATAAATAGTGGCACGATTTTGAATGGTTCATCTTGCAGTTTAATATTAGGATCATAAAATTTTTAAAAAAACCTTACACTTTGGATCAGTATATATCCAGTTTGGAAAAACCTTTTTGGGTTTAAGAAAATTTGACTTAAGATAAGAAATGATTATGAAACTAGTCATAATAAGTTGAGCATTTTCACCAGCAAACAAATCAAACGAGTTAATTTCAACTCGAAGTATTTATTTCTCCACGATTACTACCAACTATCGACAAATAAATCATCTTAAGTTTGAATTATACTCATGAACTTGAAAAGAAATGCGTCGCTCGCAACACACATCGTAACGCAAACTCGTATACGTAATTGACCGGGCGCGAGGATACATTTCAGCGTTCAATTAGCCGCACTCGCGCGGCTTTACAGCGAAACAGGAAGACACGAAAATTCCAGTAATCCTGCGCCGCAAGGAGTATTATATGTACCGCCCGGCTAAAGCCGATCACTGACCCAAGCGATGAGCCACATCCTCGTTCACCCTGCGCCGCGCGACATAATACCTCGAGAGTAACGTAACGCAAAAATGCGCATTTGTCGCTCTCTCGCTTTCGATCGCGAAAGTATAAGTTATAGGCCCGCAGCAGCGCGGCAGCTCGGTGAGTGGATAATTCGCGGCTGTTTATTCGCCGTTGTTATTGCTCTCTTCTTATTTATGCGCCCTGTATGTAGCCGCCGCCTTCGTATACTCTCGCCTCTCGAAAGGACACTTTCGCGCATTACCGAGTACTGGAAATTATATTCCCTTCGACCTTCGATTTCGCCCGAACACGAAGCACGTACATACATATTTGCTTTCGCACGCCTGCGTCCGAGAAGGTACTTAAAATTAGCATTTGATTGGACTTTTTTGCACATCGGCCGAGAAGCGCAAAAAGGGTATCACCTTATACATTATGCCCATGCAGCAAAAATGCTGAAAATTTCAGAACTCGAGGCATGAGAAACATTTATACGTGCGGCGCGGGCGGTGTGTGTGTGCGAGGATATGGCATTACTGCGCGCCGCGATAATATACAGCATCGATCGGTAGGTAAAAAAAGCAAAAACAACTGCACATATGCACGCGGGAATGGCAAAGAGAGCACGAGTGAACCGTATATGGAAGTCCGGCGCGGTATACATTTATATACGTGTGGAGAGCACTTTCGCTCTCGATGCTCACCTTGATGTCCAAATGGGCGATGTTGCGCTCGTGAAGATAGGCCAGTCCTTCCACCAGTTGCCGCACGAAGTGCACCACGTCGCCCTCCAGAGGCACCAGATCTCCGTCTATGAGAGTTTGCATGTCGCCGCCGGGTGCGCTAAGATACAAAAATTAATATTAATTGTCTCGCGCCAGTTTAGCTTTATTTTTCAATAATGATCTAATTCTAACACCTGACCGGTGCGAAAATGCTGCAGGCGATTTACGAATCAAGTTCAATATATTAAGCTCACGATCAAGATCCACTTACAATTCCATAACCATGATGATTTCCTTGGGTGTCTCGTAGACATCGTGGAGTCGAACGACCCTCGGAGATTGGGAGCACAGAGAAAGCAGAGCTATTTCGTGGCGCAATTCCGCGCTGCAGTCGGAGCCGAATCGATTTCTCGAGGAAAATTTGGCCGCGTACACTATACCGGTTGCTCTTGATTTGCATTTGTAGACGCGCGCCCACTGGCCACTAAAACAATAACAACAACAACAACAATGCGATGAGTCAATTTTTGAAAAAAACCAAAATATTTACAATTTATCTTGAGACTGTATTAACATAAATCAATTTCTTATCAGCTCTTTAACCATAATTTGTCATTTTTATTATGATTCGGTAATTTATGAGCACGTATAATACGACCGACAAATTTTACATTTTATCACGTGCTCGTATTTTCAGTTACGTAGTAAATGGAGTTTAAATATGCTTGTATCGTATCTTTAAACAGGGTAATTCCACTTATATCCGAGTGCATTCATTAAAATTAAAAATTTAAGGAACTCATAATAAAAAAATGGACAAAAAAACACTGTAAATCTATTTTTTTTAAATGGAACAATTTACGAAGTGATTAGACTCTATGCCAATTGTCGATCGCAAGACTAATTGGTCATATTAGATGAATAGCTAGCAGCGGGTAAACAACTCCAAAGAAAGAGATAAAAATCAAGTCGAGAATCAATCGCTGGCATAAACGGCAGTGCAGCGTAATACGCGCTGCCCTTTTATCATATTATGCTCGCGGTCGCGCGAGACGCAGTCTACCCGACGGGGAACGACAACGACTTGTAAATAAGTAAGTATAGTTGCAAGAGGGAAAGAGAGAGCGAGAGAGAGAGAGCGAAACAACGGAGGAGGTGTACGTTTATAAAGCAGATACACGAACAAGGTCGTCACCGGCGCCGCGCCGCTAGTAGCTTGTGTCGCTTTGGCGCCTTGCAAGGCCGATCGACGACTGCGTCGCGTTGACGCATATTATGCGTGTCTCTCTCTGTGTATACGTATGTCCACTCTTGATCCGCGGGGCAAAACCAATACAAACAATTGCGGTGCAGCGCAGAATTGCAATATTTCGAGTGTATAGTGCTGCACCGCATGCTGCGCGTTATTATTAAATGGAATCGCGACTCGCGCGAAATCGATCTTGGCGCCGCGAAACTTGTCCGCATTTTGATGTATATGTAAGCGACAGAAAGAGAGAGAATTTTCATGAGCTGCGACGCCAAATACGAACATGCAGCGCAGCAGAAATTGCCTTCGTTAATAAGGATCGATGGTCAACGAATCGATTACATACACGTTTAAGCCAGTCAACCCCAACGCGTACCAACTTATCATATCGGTGCTCTGTACGCGTTGCGAAACTTCTCTTGTTTTTTTTTTTTGGTCTTCGTCTGGCGATCGCGTGTTTGAGGAATCGAAAAACTCCGGTTATTGGCAATATCGCGCGCTACGCGCAAAACCGCACGTGATTTATTCCACATAGTAGAGCCGGCGGCTGCTCTACTGCTCTAGTGCTCTTTAAATCATATTTAAGCCGTGCCACTGGAACTCGACACTTTTCACACCTCGCGGCCGGATCAATTACTCTACACAAAGCTCGAGTGTAAACATTCATTTGGTGGAGCATGGTACGCGTTGCGGCGACGATTCGATTAACTATATAAGGGCATAAGCGCGCCGATGCGGACAAAAGCACGAACCGAGCGGCGCGCGGCTTGCCTATTTCCAATCGGTTTGTCTCGTTTTATATCGAGAATGTTTTATTTTTTTTTTTTGACGTCGTGATTGTTATATTCGATCCTGCGTGTCAGATCGAAGCGAGTATTATTTGTAATGTGCTGTACGCGGCGAGAGATAGGATGTGGTTTTCACAGTACCGTACGCGAGTAACAATTTGTTCTCTGCTCCGAGAAAATCAATCAAGCTTGACAAATTTTCATGTGGCGTGTCACAGTAGCTTCACAAAAAATATAAGCTTTTATACAACTATTTCGACTTTTTCACTTGCAGGTTTACAGATTAAAGTACTGGCCATCTAGCGGTGAATGCTTAAGGTGGTATTATCTTATTTGAAGTGGTTTTAAACTGGTATGAATTTTTGGAAACAGGTGAATTGTCATTTTTATAGGTCATTTAAAATGTGCTTAATGTTAGTAACATAATTTTCATAGAAAAATTGTCAAAAAAATCTAATTAGCGGTAATTCATTTTAAAATATTTGGAACGTTATTTTTTGGTTATTAAGCAATCATTTATATTAACTATTTTAACAGGGATGATTTTTAATATTATAGAGTCGGAGACCTAAAATTATCATATTTATAATTAATGGTAATGTACCTTAAACATTTCACATTGCCAGTTTTTGGTTATAAGAACATTATTTATGTTGAGTATTTTCACCAGGATATTGATACACACTTAATTTTCAATAAAAATTTCATTCATAAGTACCATAAATAAAATTCAGTATTGGTCAGTTTAATTTTAATGTTGAATTTTACATTAAATCTGCATCAAATTTAAGGTTTAAAGCAAAGCTAAGCAAGCTTTATAGGTGCTGCTACGTTAGGTTTATAAAAGTGTCACTTAGATTGAACGTATATGCCTCTAGTTTACATAAATTGACGATTATTCCAATTGGCAAGTAAGCATATAACGACATATTTTCCAAGTGTTGCAGTGGCGTTATACAAACTAGGTGATTTTGCAAGCCTGATACTAGCTCGTTTAAAACGATTCGTTTGGGAAATACGAGTTTGAAAATGCGAGCTACAAGTACCGCCTCTAACTTTGTTACAAATGCTCAAGTAAATCAAATTTACTATCTCAACGCGATTTCTGTTGTCGAAACGCATTCGTCGAAACAAATCACTGCTCAATTCGATTAAATGCCAAAAAAAAGTCATTAACGTGCAAAAGAGTCGCTCTTAATTACCGATCGCTTCTTAAAATATACGCCGATATTCGTGAGGTAATAATAATTCCGAGAGTTAAAAATAAAATTGCGATTATATCATTAGTTAATTACGATGCGCAATGTTTATTACGACTTCGGGCTTTAAAACCCATGGAGAGTTATTGTACGTTGGATAGGTGCGCGGCAAAAACTTGGACGCGCTTCATATGCATCGACAACGGCGGATTGGTTTTGTAATTCGTATTCGAAATAAAAATTACCGGTTTATGTGTCTCATCGGAACTACGTCCCACGCTACGTGCGGAGCTCGGAGTTGTCCGTACGCGATGTCGACGGCCCACGTGTTTATAGTGACGATCGGTTCGCATATAGATGTGTATAATACAACACGTATACATCCGACACCTCGCGTGCAATACGACTCGACGTTCGCTCTGATTTTATTTTATTTTTATTTTTTATTTTCATTAAATTTTACTGAAAAAATAATTTTGATCCTACTGACTTTAAAAATATCATACATAAAGTAGAGTTCGTACACTGATTCGAATTCAATAAATTAGTCAGCCAATCGAATTAGACGCGTACAGAGTCACGTCGTATACAAAACACGAAATCATCGGCGCATCGTCGATCTGTAACAAATGTGCGTTCTGCTGCGTGCGTGATGGATCTGCCTCCATTGGCTCGCTCGAGCGCGCACGTGATAATCCATAAATGACGCTAGTCGCGACGAAAAATCTTCTCGCGATTAATGGCTAGACGTCTTCGCGCGCGCGCGATATGTGTTTCTCTTCTCTGCACTTTATTGCCTCGCGGAGTGCATTTAATGGCTCTCGGCGTGCTAACATTTACATTTTAACTGGAGAACTGCTCTAGCGCAATTTGTGTATACGATGTACTCGTATATATAATGCACGCGCGCTCAAACGGGCGCGAGTTATGGAATTTTACGATTATTGTCAATATTTCGCGAAAACCCACGGGTTATTTAAGCGGACGACTCGAGTGCGCGAAAAACTGGTTTGCCCTGAAAATTATGTTATTGGCATCGTTGCACACACATTCGTACACACACACGCACATATTATACACACGCAGCGGGTGCGCACGCGAATTGTAGGCGTCATAATGCGATGCTGGACGTAATTTAGCGCGAGAAGCCGGAGAGAAAGAGAGAGAGAGAAAAAAATCTGATAATGATCCGTGACGACGACGTCGCAGCTGCAGCAGCAGCAACGAACGCCATAAGCTTTCCATATATTTTCATTCGAATCCGAACAAACGTCAAGCTCTGACTCCGAAGGAAGTATGAGTAATGGATTATGTTAATGGAGTCATTCAGCACTTGCGAAATTCACTTTGTCGAGCCGTATAATCATTTGCCATTGACAGTCGATGAAGTTACCGTTCGATCCGCAGCGAATTCAGCTAATTATTACGGTTGAACATCGAGATATATAGGACAAAAATTAATTATCGAGACGGCCGATTTGTAAAAGTCAGAAGCGGAATCGATGCAATGCCAAAAGAAAAAAAAATCGGCTATATTACGGCAACGATCGGTTGCGCGGCTTACCTGGCGAACGGCTTGGGCTCGATGTCGTAGTACTCGTTGATCGGTCCGGTCTTAACGACTCTCGCGAGCTGAGCCTCCTGTATGAGCACCAGGCCCTCCTTCACGTGCTTCTCGCTCCATTGAACTCTGCATCTACCCCTGCACCTGTTGTTGTTGTTGGGTCCATCGACGACACTGTTAGAATTTCCCGATTGCTTATTAGCCGCATTACGGGCTGCTTTGCTGGACTTGCTGTTGCTCGTGGTTGTTCTGGCATCTCTCGATTTAGTGTGCTTTCCGGACGATTTGTTGGTCGACGACAGAGTCGGGGCCTGATGATGATTCGTCCCGTTGTATATCATCTTTACTCGTATATCACCGTTGATCACTTTTAGTCATATTATCGTTGAGCGACGGCGAGTCCTTTTCGGGTGGTCCCAGCCTGAGAAAATCATGCACTGTGCACACGCGAAAGTCACACCGACACACCGCTGACGTTACACTACAAGGAAAGGGACAGTACGAAGGAGGCATATATAATGTAACGCGCGTCGATTGTGTTATAGGTGCCCCGTGCGTGGCCTTATTGACACGCGCGTGGTGCGGTCGCGATGTCGAGACATAAACTGCTGCTGCTGCTGTACGCGCGAGTCTCCCGTCACTCTATGTCGTGTGGGACCAGCAGCAGCGGCAAATGTGGAATGAACGTGTATAATATAACGACGAGCTATATTGCAACTGTAAGCGAGACACACACTCGCGACTCGCGAGGTAGTAGCAGTTCTCGCTCGCGACCTTCCTTACTACTTTGCGAGAGTGAGAGAGAGAGAGAGCAAGAGCGAAACGCGCCTTTTGGGGGACGTCCTTTTTTTTATAACATACTACTCTCTTATATACTTATATATCTCTTTTGCTCTTTCTCCTGCGGTTACAATTCTCTCTGCGCCGTTGGCTATTATACCATGTCCCATACATATAAGTACGACTGAGCTTGTTATTCATTTTCCAGCCACTGATATTCGCATTATGCCGTCGACGCTCGGAGCACTTGCGAATGACGCAACTCGCAGCGGCAGCTAGTTGGCGTCGCGACGCGCTTTTCATTCCTTGTTGTCGTACTTGCGTACGCATGAAAATTCATTGATGCTAAAATCTTCGAGCCATTATTGCACTTGCGCCGCTTTTTTACCCAAACACGCTAATGGCTCGAAATTGAATATTATTACATCCGCGTCGTAAAAACAAACAGCGCGTCAGAAGCCTATATTACAAATGCGAGCGCGCCAATGAATTCGAACGAGGCAACGAGATGCGATGGTACATGCAGGATCGAATCGAAAATCTAATCAATTCTCGCGCCTAACTTGGTCGTAGGCTAAATTTATCTCATAGGCTATTTTTTCTTTTTTTTCTGAAAACCGTTTACGCAATCTGAGTCACACTTGTGAAGCCAATTTTCATGCGTTCGTAACTATACTGCCCGGCGTCTCGCGTGCGCTGCACAAAAGAAAATACATCATCGGACGAAAATAAAACGCGAAAATTCTCGTGAATAGCCGAATAAGGCAGCTGCCCGCCACATAGAAACACACGATAAAGAGCTGGAGTGCGCGCAAGATGCAAACATATAATTTAATCATTCTGTGCGCGCAGTGTCAGAAAACAAAACAAAATTATTCGTCACAGAGATCTGCGTGTGCTCTTATTAGAGCAGTGCTTTCGAAGAAATACGCCGTGGCTATTAATTCGAGAAAACCGTCACCGCAACTTGCTTTGGATTTTAACAACAGATCAACACAACGTTTTCACGCGCACGCGTTGCAGGGTTAATTACTTTACCCGTTATATCGTTGTGCAGCTTATTTGTTTTAGCTAATTGTTGAAAATCGCCTGTTTTGATAAAGAAAGATCAATCGAAGGATAGCAAAAAATACGTCCGTGTGAGAGCTGGCAAGCTGATTGGCGTATTCATAACGATCTTCCTTAAACACTGTCAAATAAGGCAAAATCCAATAGCTGCTGTTCATGTATCTCAGCACGTGTAATTCCATCCAAGTCTCTCGAGGGCAATAAACGCCAAGAAATGTCGCTCGACAATTTACGCTATAGATTTTGGAATATCGAACTACGTAAATGAGCCTTTATTTACTCAAAAAATTTACGAGCAATAAAAAATATGATTAATCGTTCGGTTTTTACCACGGTACGTCAATGTTTCGAATTAAAAATAAAAACAAATTGAATATCAGAGTTGATGAACTTAAAAAAAATAAATAAATAAAATAAAAAAAAACAACAATCGTTATAGGAATTCTGAAGGATTAAAAAATAATGCACAGAATGTAATTTCATAATTATGTTGTTTGTTATTTTATTGTTATTAAAATTATAATATAATATTCATTAAACTAAATATTTACAAATAGTCAATCTCAAATATATCCGTGCACTTGGCTTCTTTTCAAAAATAGTAGGCACGGTAATTGACGAATCTAAAATTTAACGATGTACTGATAAGCAATGATCAAACATTATATAATTGTCAGTTATGTAGACGATATGAGAACTATGATGGTAAATATTCATTTTCAAAAAAAGACTATTTATAATTCCTTTTCGCTTGGTAGTTTCATCAACTCATTTTTAAATTTTTTTTTCTTTAGCAATATTCAAGAAAAACAGCTGCAAGAATAAATATTGCTTTTATATGAAATGCTAAACTAGTAAAAACACCATTTTAAGAGATAATTTTTATTTTATGAATCAATTTCGTTTATGTCTCCGATTTACTAGATAAGAGGGAATTGGATCAAAAACATGTAAGTATCATTTTTAAAAGCAATCATCAAGCGCTTAGTAAATGTGAGAAACATATATTGGTATAACAATGAGTAAAGCTCATTTTTCATTCAGATATACAACATGAATGTCGCTTATCTTTTCAGTGACTTTATACAACTTCATTGTCATAAACTGTGATTATTGAACATCGATTTGAATCAATCATGAGTCGAGGATATAAACAAAGAACTCTTCAATTAAAATTTTTCACACAAATTTACTTTTCATTATAATACAGTATTATTCCAACAGGAATTAGTATTATTCCATAGCTTACAAATAATAATTTTATTGTCTCATGACAATACATTTTGGACAATTTTTAAACATGTACTTTTTCAAATAATTAGGTATTAAATTGATGTATGTAATACTTTCATTTTTCAAATAATCCGTAAAGTGCCTGTAAATTTATCATTTCGAACTGCATCTATTGTTTCGACAGTGATGGTTCACATGAAATAGTTTTATATCCATAAATAATTTCTTTAAAATTTGAATATTCAAAAAGACATATATTAATGGTTCAGAAACTCAGTTGAAAATACCAATTGTAGAATAGAGTCGACTAAATTGTTTGATATGATTGGCATATTCAACGTGAAATCTCAGACATCATCTCTCATTAGCTCTTAAATTAATTAACGCATGTGCTGAGAAATTCACTCGAATATAGTAATGTTATTTATAAAAAATGCAGAAACATAAGCAAAAAATATTTTACAAGCATTACAGTAAATCTGTTAATTATGACTAGCAAGTAATATAGTAGCTCTTCTTTTATTGCATAGATAAGACGCATGTTTCATGTTTTAAACACAATGCAAATCGTCTAAGAACTATCAATAAACAAAAAGCTGGTTAGAATAAAGTTTGCTATACAAAATTACCGATATCTCAATTCAGAGTAATTAAAATTAATTTTACGAAAAATACTATTATCAAAATCGTCAAACGCGTAATTTTTTGCCAAGCGCAAAATAAGTAATCATCATACGCTCAAACTTGAACAAAACCGAGAATACTGCTGTCTACGGGCGTAAAATATACATCATGATAATAATAATCATTTGCACGAAAAGTTCGCCAATTATTGATGATATGAGAATTCTCGATACAAAAAGCGCCCAATAGCACGGTTTGAAAGATCAAATCGCCAAAAGGGTTTACGCAAACACAACATTACATCTACATCAGATATCTCAATGGATCTATAGCGCGTACATCCATCTTTTATACTTTTCTAACTTTGATGCCCGTTAAATTGCACATATCTCTCAGTAAATGCTCACAATACACAATATTTACGACGCAATTATTTACAAACAAGGCACAAAGTACCATGTAATATTTAATTTAACTTTTTACACATAAACTATGTAGAGTCAAACTGAGATGTGACACATAATACCGATTTTACATCCGCAAAACGTTACAAATTATTCTATACATTTATTTAAATTGGCAGGTCTGAGATAGGGTACGCACTGATTGTGTCGAAGCGCATCCGATATTTATCATTTCAATGTTTACTTTCTATATTATACAGGCGTTGATGTGCGTTTAACGTCATTGACTTACAGAACGCACTCGAAAGTACTTGATCATTTCTTACGTCTATGTTTATAAGTCTGAACATTTTTAGCAAATATTGAAATTTGTTCCACATTTGCATTAATGTTTTGTTCGAATTTCATTTAAAAAAATTTGTCGCAATTGTAAACGATTGTTATGTTCTTAAGCAGAAAACGCTCTGCATCATTTTTTTAACGATCGAGGAGTTGAAAAATCAGTCTGTAGGTCTCTATAATTATATTGAGGAATTGGCATCAAACATTTAAGTTCATCAACCATGATTGTCTGACGTTAATAGCAGTTTAAATTTCTCACTTTAGCACGCAGTACTCACGATACATTTCAATAGAATTAATATTTAGCAACCACTCACGTATCACGTTGTCACTATATAACTTTGTACAATCAATATTTTCAATTCGTTCCAAACGGTACGAGCGATTCATTGCAATTGAAAAAGTACGACATGCCGCGTATTAACTACGTTACTAACATTGTTTTTCATTTAGTATAAGTCAATAAAATATAAAAGTACGTCCTACAAAACTCGATTGTTTTCAGAACGGAGATCATTAATTTTTTTTTCTTTTCAATTAACAAATTCTCACTTGTACCACTTCTTGGAACTTATGAATTGAGCAATTCGCAAAACTCTTATTTACTAATAAATAACGAAAAGTCGTCAACAGTTATCGCATGCATCAGACTTGCGTATTCAATTCATCGTATCTACAATGTAGGCGCCAAAAAACTTGCGTTCAGCGACGCGCGAATAATTTTACAAAATACAGATTATATCTCTTTTGTAAGTTTCATTTCGTTAAGGCGTTAACGTTAATACGTAAAAATAACAACAAATGGCGTTGATTTGGCAGGCACTTTTTACGAAGACCCGTTGACTTGGAATCGCCGTATACGTGCCTGGACGGACTCGCACTGCACCTCGCTGTAGCGCATATATCGGCCAGCTCGAACTGGCTCGCGTATCACCACGAGATTCTCGCCTTGGTTACGCAGGGCCTCCAATCCAGATACGCCGCGAGTCGTGCTTGCTGAAAGTAAATAAAAAATTCCTTCGATTACTATCGCGATCTCGAGGCCCACATAAGAGTCGTCGCAACGACTTATGCAACGAGGAAGGTAGGGACTTACTTTTCGTAGTCGAGCTCGAAACGAGACTGACGCTACTACTGCTGACAGTACTGGAACTCGTGCTGATCATCGGGCTTTTCACGGTGACGTTGCTGCTACTGTTGCTGGTACTGCTACTGCTGATGCTGCTCGTGCTGCTGCAGATCGACGAGTTGCTGCTGTGAAACTGATGCTCCACGGTGGTAAATCTGCTGAGGGCCTTGCTAACGACACCGTTGCACTCGCGAGGCCAAACTCGGCTACCGTGCTTCAGAGCGCTGACGGCGGCGTTGGCGCCGCTGCTCGCGTTCAGCGTCTTGCGCGGTTGCCACGTCTGCCTCTCCGACGCGCTGAAGGGATAACTCGAGCGGCCTTGGGTCACGGTTTTGCCGTAGAGTATGAAGTCGAGCGAATCGTCCGAGTAGATACTGCTGCGGTCCGACGAGCTGTCGGTCGAGATTTCGGATCCACTGTCGCTGCACTGCTGCTCTTCACCGAGTATGAAGACAGGCGAGCACTTGAAGACTTCGCTGACCGATTGGCTCATTGCGTTCACTGCAATTCAAATAACAGTCGTATAAATTATTTCTCTTCTTGTTTCAATGTGTGTCTTGGGAAAATATTATTAGAAAAGTATACGTTACCTGAAGCTCTCCTAGACGACGTTTCCATGTCAAAGTCATCGAACATCTCGAGTAGATCGGTACTCGTTGTGAACTTCTTGGCCAAATAATCCATGCTCCTCTTGAAGTTATTTCTCCTCTCGCTCGACAGACCGTTGAAGTGGCTCCTGGCTCTCTCGGCGACCGACGGCGACGCGAACGACAGGCCCGAGCTCGTGGAGCTGCGTGACATCGCGGAGCTCAGCCTGCGCAAGTAGGCACTCTCCGAGCCGATGCTGCAGGAGCTCTCGTCGCCGAGAGCCACGGTTGAAGCATTCCCGTACGCCGATGCCCCGTCGTTGTGATCGTCGCTGCCGCTCTCTTCTGCCTCTTCTTGCTGTTCTTGCTGCTGCAGCTGATGCTGCTGCTGCTCTTCCATTTGTGTGCCGGCAATCGATGCCTCCTCGTGCATACTACTATCGTTCTCCACTTCTTCGTCGTTGTTCATGAGGAACGAGTGGCTCTTGTCCGTGTCTTGCCGCGTCTGTTTGCCGATCTGTCCGTTGCAATCCTGCTCTGATTTTGATTCGGCTACATTCTCAGCGACGATGCTGCTGCTGTTGTTTTTGATGTATTCCGGCTCGATCGGCAGTGGCGAGGCTGACGAGCAAGTCGACGAGTCGTAACCGCTGGACATCTCGGCCTCAAGAATTTCGCTCGAGTCCGACACGTAGTTCGTGTAGTTGCTGTTGCTGTTGTTGCTCGTGGGAGGCGACGACGATGTCGGCTCGTCCTCGAACTTACTGAACCAGGTATGCTCAAGGCACTCGAGTGCTGTCAATCGCGCGCTGAAAGTACAATTATTATCGTTAGCAGCTGTAATTGCCGCATCGAGACTCGCGGGACTCTCTTATGAAGAGCTAAACAACGAGCGGGCACGCGGTGACGGAGTCGCGCGCGGCAAGCAAGGATGATTAAACGCGTAATAATGATACCTAATCGTTACGCGGCTGGCTTTTTTCTCTCTGCCTCTCGCGATTCTCGCAATAGCACGATGACTGGCCTCGCGCGACGACGACCACCGAGCCCGACAGTGTGTTACACTATGAAATTATAAAAATTTATACGATAATTGCAATAGAATTAACGTGTAGAGGCGCATAATGAGCGGTCAGCCGCGAAGACACTGGTCGCCGCCGCCGCCGATCGAGAGCCATTATAACTTGCGTACAACAACGAGCCAATGTACCAAGGCACATTCCGACGGAGCACGGGCTCTCGCGCAAACAAAGTACTCGAGTCAGTGTGTGCGTGTATGCGTGTGCACGCGTGTTGAAGCCACGCGCGTCGTTGTACATAGATGCACACACGAAACATTTGAAATAAAGGTATTGCGCCGATGTCCAGGCCGGTGCATCGGCGACTGCCTTGACTATTTCTACGGCGCGATGAATGCGATGAATCGCAACAGAAAAAAAAATGTCGAAGCTCGCGCGCGCGCTCGTCTGATGTGTGGCTCTAAATATAAGAGCATATCCATACCTTGGATTCTTGACGATGAGACGCCTGATGAGATCTTGAGCCTCTTCGGATACCTCCTCGAAGAGGTCGTCCGGGAAGTCGAGTTTGCATCTGCTGATGTTGCAGAAGGTCTCTTGCTTCGTGTCGCCGCCGAAGGGTGAACAGCCTGTCAGCAGTACGTAGAGCAGCACACCCACCGACCACATATCCGTTGCCAGGCTTATGGGCTCGTAGTTTAGTACTTCCGGCGCTGCGTATATACAGATATATTATGTATTACGACGGAGTTAAAGAAAGAGCCAAGAAATGAGTATTGTATTGTTTATAACCGCACGCGCGGCGCGGATAATGGGCTCTCGAGGAGCCGGAGCTTTTCCGCTCTAACATTAAAAATCGCTCGCTGCTGCTGCTGCAGTGGCGTGTGCACTTACCGGTGTAGTCTGGTGTGCCGAGAATTTCCCGTATATCGGCACCTTGGCTGATGTAGCGCGATATTCCGAAATCGCAGAGCTTCACGTCGCAGTCGGGAAATTCGCCGGTTAGCACGAGGTTTTGAGGCTGCAACAGAGAGAAAAATCGATCCAGTTTAGTGAAAATCCTGCTTTTTTTATGTTGTACTTAAAACAATAACAACGTTAACGGTATAAATGCACTTAAGTAATGTATATACCGTAACGGTATTCCATAGAGACAAACTCTTAATATGCAACGTCTCAACTATCTTATCTTGACAATCGAGATTAACGATGTAATTGAATGAAACGAGTAGATGCGGAGATGATATCATATTTGTAATTTTTTTGTCAAAGACTTCGTATCGAGTGACATCGTCGCGCGAATCGTCGATACTAATAACGAACGAGGAAAACACGCGTATCGTCGATAATTAATATCTCTCACCGCGAGCAAGAGATTTTTCAATCGAAAATTGTCGACTGCTTCTGGGATTTTTCCAAGTGTACGATATTATTATTTTATTTTTAACTTTTCCACTATGACAAATCGCGGGAAAAGCAGTCTTCCCCCATTAGAAATCGCGAGCGCGATATGGAGCATCTGGATTCCTAATTTAATCTAGGTACGTGCTCTCTTTCTCTTTCTCTCACGCATTCCGAGATTTTTCGCCCCTTTTCGCCTCTTCGGCTCTATTCCTAAACATATGCGATCCACATAGCTTTCCCAAAAAGCAGCAGCGTCTCGTCGCTCGCGATCTTCTTCCCTTTCCCATATTAACGACTGGCCCGTTTATTCTACGTCGCATTCCACACCTCTAGAAATACTTCTGTCTCTCAGGCGCGTGTGCACCCAGAGTATGGTCCATTGCACTTATGTATATTTATAATATGCGCTCGCGCGTAGTAGCGCAGAGTTTTCGTGAGAGCGAGAAAGAGAGAGAGAGAGAGAGAGAGAAGAGAGCAGAGCCAGCCGCATACTTGGACGCGTTGCATCTTGCGAGCTGCTCTCGAGTCCTATATATGAGAATTTTCACTTGCGGCCCGAGAGCGCTACCGCCTCAAGCTCGCAAGCGAGCCGTCGCCGCCACCGCCGCTGCATGCCACATTGTTGTGAGACGACTTTTACTCGCTGCTGCTGCGAAATTGGCATCGCGTGTTCACGCATTCGTGCGAGTCCTCCTGCCCTGCACTACTATATACAACAGCCGCGCTGATTATTCCGCATATTCTATTTTAACTGCACGCGAGCCAATAATAGATTTCATATACCAATTTGATCATGCGAATGATTTCGTTCGCCCCCTTTTTTTTCTCATTTACTCTTTCCGCAAAAATATTTTTTCGCCTTCGTCGACTCGGTTTTAGCCAATTGACTCCTGTTCTCGATGAATGGGAATGCGTTCACACAGCGGCGCTCCGCATGCCGCATGTACCAACTCGATATATAATATACACAGCAGCAGCAGCGGCAAGCGCGAACCTCTCTCGGGATACATAATAACCTTGCAAGGCCGAAGCCGAGCTCGCGAGAGAATTCGCGTAACTTACCCGCGCTTATGTACAGTGCAGAGAGAAAAAAGATAAATATTACTGCCCCGCGCGCGCCCGTGAGTATATATCCGAATTGGCCGAGTTACGAGCTTTCGCGCGCACTGCAGCACAGCGATGGTATGTACTGCGGCTGCTGCAGCTGATACGCACGTACACACACACATATATACACACACACGTGTTATATATAGACGGTCACGCTATATAACGTATACGTCCGACGTATATAATGCGATCGATGCAGTTGGTAAGCATAATTGGATAGCAGGGCGAGCAAGAATGTTTCGATTCGTTAAATCAATTCGACGGCGATGGACGTCAATCCGTTTATAACGATCCCTCTCCTTTCATTTGGCCTTTCGCATTCTTTCATTTTTGCAACTCTCTCGAGCTTTATATATATAGTATAAATCGTATAGAATCCGTTCAACGTCTCGGGGCGGCGCGCACCAACCAACCGAGCGCCGCCGATCGTCGGTGAACCTCGAGTAACTCATGCTGTTGCTGCTGCTGCGATCGTAAAATCTCATTTGCGCGACTCGCGTTATATTAGTGATACATAAAAATGTACGTGGCGCACAATACACTGTATTTACGTCACTCATGCTTATTGTCAATGTTGGCCTCGATACATCACCTTAAGGGCAATATCCATGTGATTATGTACGACGCGATACATGGCTCATACCGATCAATTTTCATATACCCGAGTATTTCTGCTACCGCTGCAGGCTTGACCGGTGCGTATAATAAGTATATTATTTCCGATCGATGATTGAAATATTTTAAAAGACTTTACGGGAATCGTAATCTCTCGCTCTCGTAGGCGTTGAATAACCAATATACCGTAATCCGCGTGTAGAGTGTACGAAACACGCCGCCTACTATATATAATATACTCGCAAGTTACTAAACCGCGTAATGAAATCAATGCAATGGAATTTCATGCCAAGACCGTAACGTGCGGCTGCCTCAACAATGGCAGAAATGCAAATTATTTTCTACGGCTACGGGCATCGTATATAGCGTACACACAGAGCATTTCATGCATCCCTTCTCTTCGCGGGCCTTTAACGTTATAATCGCCTCGGGGTGGCAAAAAAACCTTGCCACAGCCCGTAAAAATCGCGCGCGCGCGGCATATACGCACGCGAGAAGTGCAACAACAACAATGCGCAATCTAAAACAATCACCGCGCACGCACGAGCCTTTGAGCGAGCGTTTTATATATTATACGCGTGTAGAGGTATATACATATATTTGTTATCTGCTGCGAGAGATCATCGGCGCGGAGCTTTTAAAAACAATGCTTTATTAAAATTTTCTTCCTCTCGCGCGCGCGCACTGCTCGTGAGCTATATAATTAACAATTACGGAGTCTTGACCGCACCTCGCGGAACGACGATGACGACGACGAGCGGCAGCGCTGCTGCTGCGGGGGCTCGATTCAAACGCGCGCGCGTTTTCGAGAGACGCCTGGAAAAACTTGAAAGAGAGCCTGATTCGATATGCACCAGGCAAAGTTACGGATCGCGCAAATCCTCTCTCTCTCTCTCCGGCTAGCCGTAAATACGCGAGCGAGCGCAAGCACGGTAACGAGATAAAGCAGCAAGAGGGCGAAACGCAAGAACCGGAGCAAGGCCGCGACTACTACGTGTATTACATGCCGCTACATACACGCCACTATCGTGCAGTAGAGAGAGCTTTTTTTTAAACTTGACTTTTGCTCGCGTCTGGTTATCATTAAACGAGCTGGAGATTCAGTACGTCTGATGTAATAATTCGAGGGGAGCGATTTTCGGTGGGCGAGGATCGATGGTGAAAATATTATTATTCGTGCGATTGAGCAAACTCCTTTTCTGTTGCTGCTGCCTTGGAAGGCGTGTACAATTTTTTAACGTAATAATTTCATGCTTTTACTTTGTCGTGAAGGCATAAATATTACATGTACACACGGCTTTTGAAAAATTGCCGCTGCCGCCCGACGACGACGACGAATTTACAATGTGTGCAAGTTTCCCCTCGCGCAGCTTGTTCGCGAGTTGCGGCGGCGGCGCGCGTGCAAGTACACGTACACGCCGAGTCCTACCGATCGATGCTCATAAGTGCTGCGCGCGCTTTGGCAATTTGTTAAGGAAAATCATTTACATGTATTGCGTCTGGGTACGCTCATTACGATTAAGGATCAAAAAATACCGCGAGTAAAAGCGGCGTGTGGATTTTTTTAATTATAGCACCTAAAGCACCGAATCAAATTAAAATAAAACTCTTCCGCTTGCCGCGCGCGTCATGAGAAGTGTGAAAATACAACGTAACACTCGCTTGAGCAGGTAGTATATACACATAAGCTCGGAAGAATTAATACGCGCGGGGACAAAAATTGCGATGACGCGCGCGCGCGAGGAGCTCGAGATAAAGCTCTCGAGCGCCAGGCGATATATTCCTGCACACACGACCGCGATACATTTTCTTGTAATGCACCGAGACACGGTATTATACGCGCATGAGATATAGGAAACTATTCAATTATTAATCGAGTTAAACGCTAAAGTTCATAACTGTCGTTCAATGTCGACTTATATACTCGATGCATGCAGCCTAGTGCATATACCAGAGCACATGTGTATATACTAGCATACACACATGCACACGCGGCTTTGGACCTTGCTCTCTCTCTCTTGCGCTACTCACGAAGTATATAAGTTGGTAATTGGATTGCGGCACCGCAGCCGCCACTGTGGCGATGCGCGTAATAGCGTATACATTCGTGTATGTATACATACACACACGGCATATAACCACACATACGTATTCGCGCTGTACTAGAGCAAACTGCAGAGAGAGAGAGAGAGGAGAGAAAGAAAACTGCTCGAGCGAACGGTCTTTTGATGTCGAGCGCGATTGCGCGCACCCGTACGTACGTATACGCGTATATGCACACTAATATTATAGCTCCTTCTGTGACGTTATTACATACGTGTAATATTCTATACATAGGTGTCTTTGATCAGAAGGAACCGCTTGCGATTTTTAACCGATTTTTTTTTCTCGGCGCACTACTCCGCGCACGACGAGCACGACGATGATTATAGACGCAGTCGATTTCGAACGAATTGAAAAAATGTTCGACTGCAAGTACCGATATGATTTGAACAAAGCAGCTCTGCGGAGGCCTCGAGAGAGACAAAGAACGACAGAAAAAGGTTGCGTTAAGCGAGCGAGCACCGCTACTCTCTCGGCGCGGTATATATACGTCGTGTACAATGTGTGTACACATACGCAGGCACGCACTTACGCGTGCGTCTTATATAGATACGATGTGTGTAAGTACAGCAACAGCTGTAATATTATTTAAAATATATACGTCGCCGGACGATGTTAGCGCAGCTATATAAGCTAGCCTAGGTGTATACACGCGAGAAAAGCGGCTCGCCTTGGACTTGCTGCGGCCAGAGAGCATATAACAGCAGCCAGCAGCAGAGCCACAATCGATAAGCGGTCTCTCTTTCTCGAGTGCATTAGGAGTCGACGACGGCTTGCAATAGCTGTGTGATACCGCCGCCGCCGCCGCGTGCGTATTATGCTGCGAGAGAGGCTGTTTTTGCGCGCGTTTTATACGTGTTAATAATATGCGATTGCGCGCGATCTGAAATGTTCGCTATTCTTAATATATGTGCAGTGCCAGTCGGCGTGTCTTTTTCGCGCACACGTGTGTGTGTATGCGTGTGGAGCTGCAGCACAACGCGACGGGTAGCGGCTGTACGCTTGTCTCTCGGTTACGAATTTTTCCTAAAGTAAACGCCAACAAACGTACACAGCAGCGCCTTCTTTCTTTCGCCAGCTGGCTTTTGTGCTTTTGCGCTGCTGCTGCTGCAACACGTCTACCGATCGATGATTCATCCACGTGCGTATATACTATACTGCAAAGCCCACGGTGCATTTTATCGCGGTGCGGTGCATTGTCGCGCGCGCGCGCCACAAGCGGGCCCCTTCGCGTACTGTATATACGCACTGCACACCTAATCTCCTTTATCGTCGTCTATTGTATACGCGTATACTTTTTTATTCGATAGATTTATCGAAAAGCCGCTTATCGGCAAGCGCGTTAATGCAAACTCCCCAACTCTCCGCGCGCGCGCGATTGTTGGGACGTACTTCGGTGCAGCAGCGCCTTTATATGCGCCAAATGACTTTGGAATATCTTGGAAAATGAAAATTTTACGAAACGCAACAGTGAAAGAAACAATGTGCAGCCGAACGAGCATAATGTAATATATAATAAAGCAGCTCGACGATTCGAACCGATCGTGAGATCTGTGTGAGTGTGACAAATGTTTGCCTTAGTGGCATTCCAAAAGTATTGTTGAACGCGCGCGTGAGGCGCGTGGGACCAATTAACCGCGAGCAGCAAAGTTGCCGGAGTGACAGGCAGCAGTCGCACAGCTATGTACTATATATATAGTTGCGCGGCGAGTCTTATCGCGTATACGTTCGAGCGATAAGACAAAGCCGCGCGACTCCCAATGTTAGCAATGTCGTTCGTGCGAATTTTTTTACGTATATAATGTATCTCACCTTGATGTCGAGATGCGCGACGTTGAGCGAGTGCAGAAAAGCGACTCCGTCGAGGATCTGCCTCAGCAGCTTGGCCACTTGATGTTCTTCTGGGATCTCGTCGCGATCCAGAACCATTTGTAGCTCGCCACCGGCAGCTCTGCAAACACAACGAAAAAGGATTATATTATTTTCGAGTCTCTTACTCGATGCGTAAATACTCTTTCGTGTAATACAATACTTAAACGTATATCACGTGTAGACAATATTTCATATTATAAACGGCTTGTAAGCGACTGCGAGATTAGATAAAGAAGCAGTGGTGTGCCTTTTAATTTCCTCCTGTGCGCGCATACTTGAAATTCAAAAGAAAATTTCACCTTTTCGATTTCTACGACTGCTCATGCCTCTCGCGCGCTCGCTCGCGTATAGTGTGCATATATTATGTGTGTATGTGCCTTTTGATCGTATACATAAACTGATTACGTTATATGGACACACGTGGAAGTAGTTATAGTAATACGCAGCGCACGCACGCGCACGTAGCAATGTAACAAGTGTGCGCAGGATTTCCTTTGTCTTTTTATTTTCACTCTTTCCACAAACATTCGGAGACCATATTTTACAGCAACGAGAAAATTGCTTTGTCATACTAAGCGAGCGCCTTATGCGCAAAACAAAACGTTTCGAACATAATTTCACTAAACGATCGTCGATGAGCAATTATTTGATTTTAATCGCGTGTTAAGCAATTTTTATTCATTTGAATTCCGAGATTTAAAAATCTCGGACCGCGATCAAAAACTTCCGCGCGCGAGAAAATTAAAATGTCAACGGCCGAAAAATTCTCAAAGTGAATAATAATAAATAGTACAGATGAAAAGTAGCGATAAAGTCGCGGCGAGACCGGGGCAGGTGATGAATCTCTGCACCGCGGCGGTGCATCCTCGCGGTATTATTCTAACAACAATACGACATCATAAATGCGGTACATGCGCGCGAGTTGCTTTGGACATAGAGGCGATCACCGAGGTAAAAAGGCGAAATGATTAATAAATCACGACTCGTGGCTCCATATAATGCGCTTACGAAAAGACAGAAAATAATCTAACGGTAAGTGCGAATATGTATGCACAGTTGCACGCGTGCGTTTAAAAAGGCCAGCAGGCAGTCACATATACATAGTAGTACTGGTCACAAGACACATGCATAACTCGGACGAAAAAAGTCACTCGTTGCGTTGCGGCTATGTGTGTATGTATGTAGCGCCGAGCAGGCAAGTACGCATGTGTGCAGTGCACAAAAGGAAGAAAACGGAACTACTGTACGCAGCCGGCCTGTCCAATGCAACGACCAGCAACAATACATAATGCTCTTACGCGACGTCCCAGGGCCCCGTCAGTGTGTGTGTGTGTGTGTATGCAGTGCTCGGCTACTTCCTCGTGTGTGCAACTTACGAATGTGTGTACGTAGTAGTAGTAGGTCTGCGCCGAGTTTCTCTACTTGTGGCTGCGGCGGCGGCGGCGACGGTGCAGCGCTCGCATAATGTGCAATATATATAATAATGCACCGCGAAGTGCCCGTATATAATATAAAAGCACAACTCTGCACGCGCGCGCGATGCCTTTATATACCCAGACCAGAGTAGACGCAAGTTTGTATATTAAAGTAAAATGCTCGGCCAGCCAGCCACACATGGGCTCGACGCGAAATGCAGTACTCACACGTGGCGTTTGCGGAATTAAACGCGTTACATAATTGAAAATGTTTTGCTCTTTGTTCTGTGCTCGCGGCACAGTGCAGTGTCGCTCGAGCCACACTATGCCGTCTTGACATTTTTAAATATACACAGAAAAGCTCCTACGCTCCTTTACCGTATAACAATTTTTCACTTTTCTTTTTTTACGTTTACTTTACGTTTACTTAAACAGCATAACTATAGTAATTTGAGAATCACACAATATTTACAAAAGTCATAATATGTACTTACAGTTCTAGAACCAGAACCATTTCTGTTGGCGTCTCGAAGACCTGGTGGAGCGTGACGAGCCGCGTGCAGTGCGCAGCGGCGTCCAGCACCGCGACCTCGTGCAGTGCCTCGGCACGCAGCTCCTGTGCGCGGGTGCGACGCTTCTTCAAAAATTTCGCAGCCCATTGGCGTCCGGTGGATCGCTCGCGGCATCTCCTCACCGTGGCGTACTTGCCTCTGTAAAAGATAAGCAGAGAAAAATCGTCCGGTTAGACAAGAGTGTGCATCGCAGAAAACAACGGTATACATTATAATATGCATTGTGTAACCAGGAAAAAAAAAGTGACCCGAGCACATCATTTGACGAAATGAAATGATAATATCCAAAGCGTTACGAGGATGATGCTTATTAGACGTGCAGCAAGCTTGCTGCGGGGGCTCTCCTGCGCAGCGGCGGCGGTGGTGGCAGTTCATATCGCTCATGCACGACCGCGCGGTGCACACGTTTCATCAGATAAATTCAGCCGAGATTTGCGCATACGCGCGACCATTAAAGAAAGAGATTCTTTTTTTCTCTCTCTCGCTCATTCGAGGATGTATATAAATACGGCCGGCTTATCGCCGCAGCTATCGTGCGCGCGAGCGTAGAGCGAGAGAGAGAGAGAGAGGATGTTATGCAGTGCGCGAGTTACTTTTTTTCATCTTACGTTGCATACACACATGTAGCTGAAAAAAGCATTTCTTCATAGAGAGGAAGGATTTCTCAGAGAGGCGCAGAGAGACGATGTCGGCGGTGGCGGCAGACCCGCGCGTCGATCTCCGCGCCGGAATCGACGGGGATATATAATTGTAATTAAATCGTGAATAATACGATCGACAGCGAGAATGGCAGGAGTATTACAGAGTAAATAATAATACGGCTTTCCTGGCGCGCTTGATTCGACCTTCTGCTAGTGTATATAGACGAACTGCGCGAGCTGTAGCTGGAGTGTACTCCAACACGACTGTTGGAACGCCAATACAAATACAAAAAATAAAAAAGAACGAAGACGATAATATTTCTGCGCCCCGTTCGAGGAGTATATAGCATATTAATGACTCGAGCCACGCGGTATTAATATTTGATACTTCTTCAAAGCCTATATATCGACGAAGAGATTCTCTGTGCATATATAGCTCGTAGAGCTGGCGCCTTTTAGACCTTATCGAAATCTTAATAATATAAGTACGCGGCGCGGCGGCGGTGCATAGCGCCGATCATGCAGACTGCGTGAGCAATCCCTTATAACACAGCAGCAGCTGCAGCGTTTCATCGCTCATCCACTGGAGAGAGAGAGAGAGAGAGCCCAAAGATTTCCAAAGAAGCAATCGTGGGCTCTTTTTATTTCGTACGCGACCGAGTACTCGAGTCTCGACGCAAGGCAAGGGCAAGGCAAACGACTCCTCTCTCTCTCGCTAAAGATGTATCGTTATTGAAAAATAGATCTCGCGTGATAATAATAATGGGCGCGCAGCTTACACACGCATTACACACGCGTTTGGCATCGTTATTAATTGTCGCCGCGCGCGTGCATATATGCAAAAGGCCCTCAGGATCGGAGCTCTGGCGCTGCTGCAGTATTTATATATAAATACGGTATAATGGAGCAGCAGCAGCAGAGGCAGGCGGCTGCCGTATTTACAAGCGTATACTCGTTGCTGTAGTTGCGTATTATATACCACGCGGATACATTTTATGGAAAATTGACTGATTGTTCGAGCAAAAAGAAACGCGTGTAACATTACAAAGTGTTTCGTATATTATACGCAAGCGCCCGAGAGCTCGGTACAAGGTTGCAGCATGGCTGTAGCAGCAGCAGCAGCAGCAGCAGCAGCAACAGCAGCACGAGGTATGCAATGAAATAATATTCATACATCATGGGAGACACGAAAATAATAACAACCACGCGAATATCGCCTTGCAAAAATATAAGACTTAATTCAATTGGTGAAAATAAAATAAATCATCGCTTACATGTGCAGCGAGCAGCCCCCGTACACATGTGAGTGTGTGTGTGCGCAAAGATTCATAAGTCAAAATGGATCTGCCGCCGACGCCGCTGCTGCTTTTGCTGCTGTTGCAGGCTCTTCGAGTTCTGGTGCAGCAGCGGATCGAAAGTGAAATTCCTCACTACCGCAATACTTGCGCATGCACTCGCTCGCAGCTCCAGCTCGATATATAAGTATACACAAACATTTCGCTTTCGAGAACGATGAGACCGTATAATGCATAATCTCCGAGGCGGATCTTTCGAAGCGAGCAGCAGCGCAACGCCGACGACGACGACAAAAAGCGACAAAAACTTTTCGAGTACTGGCGATCGTTGCAGCAGCTCTCTTGTGTGCGGGCGAATACATTAGCGTACAAATTTAATCCACGTGTACTTTATTGCCGTAATACCGCGCTTTTATATCAACCGATGAATACGTTTAATGTTCATATATATTTTTGCTTAATTTTTTTACACTTCGGATGCGCGAGGTTATACTACCGTAGAAATTGAAATTATATTTGTGCGTCAAAACTACGCAGAACCCTTCGTGCTGCTGCATTATGGTTCCCAATGGGTCTTCTTCGAGCACGTATAAATGCTAAGCAGGCGAGGTCGGCACAAGATTCTATCAAAGGATTCACGCGCGGAAACATGTACGTACGTGCTGCAACGCTGGTCTCCGAGCTGATTTTTTTGGGGATTTTTTTTTCATTTGCCAACGAGATTAGAATTTTGAGAGTCAAGCCTTGCCTGATGATCGTCAATGACTTCTTTTTTATCACCGATACGCAGTACGTTTTTTACACCGATCGAGCGACGAGCGTTGATCAGCGCGTCACCTGTATAATAATGAGTCAACGCCAAAATTCCCTTTTATAAAGTCATTACGTGAAAAAATCAATCGCGGTCGACGACGACGCTCGTCCGGCAAGCGTTTCTTGGAATGATATTCAACGGCGTAAATACGCATCTCGAAAATGCGCATTACGAGTCGCGGGGGAACCGCGACGTGGACTTGCGTACAAAGGACGCTGCTACTCGGTATAAGAAGCGATAAATATCCTTTATGTTGCAATATATTATATTGCCTTGCCGTGGTATAGGTAAACATTCTCCAGATTGGCGAATCAATTGTGAAAGTAGGACGGCTTAGCTGCGGCAGAGAGCTGCCTTGCAACTTCCGTAAATATGTGAGTCAAATATGTGTGCGTGTGTAAGTGCGTGTATACATGTAACTATAATAAATGCGCGCGACGCAAGTGTCGACGACTCTATCGCGGTTGCAAGTTGCGTATATGCAATAGTCGAAAACTTGCTCCTTACACATACGACTCGAAAAATATTTATTATTAAAAGCTCGTTGCAGAATTGCACATTGGATATTAATGTTCTAAGAGTTGAATATCTAATAGGCCACGGAAGAAGAGACTTCTACTATGAGGAAAAAACATTTCACCTCGTCATGTGCGCGCGAATGTCAAAAAAGTGTCAGCGTGCCTCGCGTGCATATAAGTCTCTCGGCTACACAAAGTCTTTCACCGAGTCTGAGTGTCTGTCTAGGCTACGAGCTGTCTCTCGTAATATTCAACAAGTCAAATATAAAAGCGTCCGCGCAAAGACACTTCTCTCTGTTTCGGAGAGTCAAGTCTCTTTTAACTGCAGCTACAGCAGCAGCAGAGCGCGGGTGAAAGCGCAGAGGCAGTAAAGCCAGTTCTCTTTCGTGGCGCGCATTACGTAAATTTCGCGCACGAAAAGCGAGCCTCGGTGCAGCAGAGAATATGCCACGAACGCCAGTGTGCAGGAATTCATCTGAGCAACAGAGATAGTCGCGCGCGCGCTGCAGAGAAAGAGAAGCTTCCTCGACTTGAACGAGGGGGAGAGCGAGTGAGTGAGTGAGAGAGAGAGAGCCAAGGTTTTGTCTAAGACTCTCTGCTGCTGCATGTGTGTGAGTAGGTGTACATAAGTCTGAGTATATACTATATGAGCCTGTGTGTGCACTGTGCAAATGCATATATGAATGCATAGATAGGCATATACACACGCGTTCAATCTCGATCACGATCGAATATCTAAAATGAACGACGTAGAGTCGAACAAGTTCATGATTTTCCCACGACATGTATATGATGTTGCATATATAAAAGCCACCCTAAGTACGCGTCAACCGCGAAATACAAAGACTACTGCGTGAACTTTGTTTTCCTCTGTGCATTTAGTGTCTTTATTGTTGTTCGAGTATCATTGCGAGCTTCTAATTGGTTGATAATATCAAGTAATTAGCAGTCTTGGACTATGAGACTTGTTAAATGCTATAGCTCCGAACTTTTGTCACGGAAAATTACGATTCACAATTGGCAATTCTGTACAAGTACGATTGCTGCAAGCTCGCAATTTTATAATAAAAAATTATGGTTTTATTGAAGCCTAGCTTCATCGATCACTGCTGCAACGCTCGTGTGCTGCAAGTATACACACATACATGCCCATAAATACATGTGTAATATTTCTACATTAAATGCATCGCTATCTTTCATGAAACACTAAAACTTGTTTGGCCTTTATTACAATTTTACATCATGTAATATACCAACCGTCTGGAGAGGGAGCAAGAGGAGACTTTGATCAATGCGATCGTGAGCTTGCGAGACAAACTCGAATGATTAAAGTAAAAAAATGAAAATAAAAATAAAAAAAAAAAGAATCAAGACACTCGATGCATTAAGATTATCTTTATTGCAAGTATATGTGCTAGTGTGTATGTGAGTGAGATCGTATAAACAACGCACTCATACAGGTACAGACTATATTTTATCAAATTCAAAGTCATTAATTATTGGATATAATGCATGCGTGAGCTTTTTGTTTCTTATATTTTATAAATATTTTTATGCGCGCGCGTACGCTACTCATTGCACAGTAGGGTAGGTACTTTTCATAACAAATTAGTCTCCTCTCGGTAATGTAGGTTCGCGCAGATATATCGCGCTTCATTATACGCGCGTTTAATTCGTCTCTCTATCTTCGCTCTTGTATTGCGACGGGGGGATCAATTAATAATTGCAGCTCTCATCGGCGCTAATCATACCTGCGCGCGCGCGATTTTTGCATTATTACGGCGCGCGCGATAATCCAACTAATCTATATACATTTATATAAAGCGACACGGCAGCGAGCCGCGGAGATCGCGTGACTCAGTAATCGATA